AAAAACCTGCAAACTATATCCAAAGTCCTCCGGAAAAAGGTGGTCTGGATTAAGGTCCACTACTAAACAATTACACAAAATCACTAAAGTGAACCATTACTAATAAAGTATTTGTTGGTCAAAAGTATGTGCTTATTCACTCACTTTTCTCACACACATATCTGACACGCTGCAAGCAGAGGGAATGAATGTCTAACTTTCTGCTCAGCTTAAGCAGAAAACAACTCTCTTCTACTTAATTTGAATTACATTCATAACAAATAAGCCCAATGTTGAAAACGAAACTAGATTTTCAAAGTTCAAACTTTAGGCATGCTTTACCTAGCATTACTTAGCGGTTACTGATGATGCAAATGTATCAGGGTTCAGAACCAAAAACCACCATGCGAACACAGTTCAGATGGGGCAGGGGAGGAGGGGAATGTCCATCAAACGCAAGTGTGAACCATGAAATCGAACCAAATGTAAAAGCACACCAAGAGAATCAGGACTTAGTTTCAGGATTTATTTGGGTCCGATGGAAACATCATGTTCAATTGGGTAAAGTCTGAACCCAAAGAAGTCAGTGAAAGATGGAAGTGAAGTGTCATGGTTAGGTAATGTTTTTGATTAGGAGACTCTGACACAGATACATGACTGATCATTTATTTATTTTCCTTAGGCTTAGTCCCTTTATTCATCAGTGGTCACCACAGTGTAATGAACCGCCAACTTATCCAGAATGTGTTTTACACAGCGAATGCACTTGCAGTTATAACCCAGTACTGGGAAACACCCATTTACTCTGACATGCACACACATACACTACAGCAAATTAAGTTTATTCAATTCACCTACAGCATATGTCTTTGAACTAGGGCGGAAACAGAGCACACAGAGGAACATGGGGAGAACATGCAAACTCCACACAGAAACGCCAACTGAACTAGCCAGGACTCAAACCAACGACATTCTGAGGCGACAGTGCTAACCACTGAGCCATAGAGTTGCCATACATGACTGTGTGAATGCAAAAGATTATCAAAAGCTCTTTTAGCAACATATAGTTACTTCCCTGCATTCATCACCCAACTGTTTTCATAAAGGACAATGAGCCCTGTTTCACAGCAAGACGGGTAAAGCAGTTGCTTGAAGCTGAACACACTGAAATAATAAAATGGCAGCTTAGAAGACGTTACTGCAGTCAATGTAACATGAAACCATAAGGCATATTTTTAGAGATTATTAGATGGATACACAAAGTAAAATCTTAATTTTTATATAAACTAGAAATACACATATATCCTGCATACCCTATACATTTAGTTAACGCCACTTCATCAATTTAATTAAACACATATTTGTTGAAATAAATATTTAATTTCTTCAAAAATTCCTTCTAACTTCAAACTTTACAAACGTAGTAGCGAAGATGACCTAAAATAAACAGACTTAAAGCCACAAAACTTACATTTTAATTTCAGTCTTTAAATGTTAACATCACCGTTATGAAATATGCAAATGAGGTTTAAATCCCTCTCTCTTTACTCAATAGGAAAAAGAAACAGACACACAAAAGCAAACAGCAGTAAATGGCAGGAGAAACCGGCAGTCATGGTTTCAAATGCGATCATAATGAGATCTTCCACAACAGAGGTCTGTTTCTCCTCTACTCTCTCTCGCTCTATCTAAAGTCACAAAAGAGTCTTTGTGTTGAGCCACAGTCTTCATTACCTATTTTTACATTTTGTATCTTATCCCTGTCCTCCCACAGAACTGTCACCGAAACATAAAAACTACATCAGGCCATGCAGAGTAGTGCTGGGGGGAAAATAACAGAATGTGGAATCTAGGGATGGCCCAAAGCTTTGTGTGCCAAAATCTGATTAATATTGAGTATCTGATCATTAGATGCAAGCCTATATGCTTCAAGTCCTGCTTTTCAATACAAGATTTAAAATATAGAACAATTTCTACAATAATTTGTCAAATTTACATTATATGTATATATGTATACATTTTTTATTATTATTATTTCACCAAGTCCAAATTCATCTATTTATACTACAACCTAAAACTCTGTACTTGTTTATAAAAAAACAAGTACATACTTTTGAGTGTGTAACAAGAGTGTGTTAGCCATGGGACATACTATTTCCTCATTAATGGGCCGCTATGTGGCTTAGCTACTCTCCCTGTCAATCACCTCGACATATCATCCACATTTCTTTCATATTTAATTACCTACCTTATTAGAGATGCAGCAGCAGGAATCTGCCATGCACAAGTCTTTTATGCAGAGAAATCACCTAAGGTCTGTTCATAATGCATTCAGAAGTTAAGATCCAACTAAAAGAATGCACTTACATTGTCTAATGTCCTTGTAAAAATAGACAATCTATCATTATATAATCTATAAAAGACAAATCTATAATGTTGACTTGAATCTTGCCAAAAAATTTTCATTTGTCAACTGTTGCATTGAATATGCGGTCTAAAAAAATAACTTGTCAATTTAATTTGATACCGACAGCAAAAATGGCATCTTTTACCAATACCGTAAAAGTTTGACAAAAATTATAATAAATTTAGGAATAAAATAATATATTAAAAACAAAAAGCTTTTGTGTAAAGCTACACATTTCATTGGGGGGAAAAAAATTGCAGTAGCAACAATTTCTTTAATATCTTGTAGTGAACTAATTCAGCAAGGTATACTTTAAAAAACCCTTGTTACACCTAAACACATATTTAAAAAAAATGTTTCAGTAATAATTTAACTTAAATAAAGAAAATCTTGGTTAAAGAAACTTAAGTTGAATAATTTTTTGTGTATATTGACTCGGTAAACTAAAATATAAGCATGTTACACTAAATCGTGCTTGTGTATGCAGCATGTAGTGGACATTGTAATGTCCATGTTACAGTGACGGTTGGATTTAGGGATGGATTAGGTGTAAACATTACCCCTTTTCACACAGTTATATCAGGAAATATCGGGAAAATTTAAAGGGAGACTTTACCGGTAAATAAAAAAATAAAAAAAACGCTTTTCACACAGGCAAGAACGTTCTGGAATTTTTCTGGAAAAGACAATCGACACATCCATTCTAAAATACCGAAAGTTCTGACATCATTAACCAGAAATGGCCTCTAAATGACTGCGCTTGTATTTGTAAACATAGAAGGGGTCTGGCTTTTGTTGATGGTTTCACTTTTATTTAAAGCTTTAGGCTTTATGCAGCTACTTTGTCCCAGAGACATCCAGAGTGCTAACCGCAGCTGAATTTTTACACATTTGACTACATTACAAATTCTGTGGATGGATCAGTATTATAAACAATATGGATGAAAACGTAGAGGAACACTTGCATATCAGGATGTACATAATGTGTGTGTGTGTGCTGGCGCTCACCAGAGAACTTGTTTACGTGCACACGCATCATGCAACCGAAGCAGAGCTTGAAGGTAAACAAACAGCGGTTTATCATAAGCATTTTATCGATGATATTTTACAGTTGGCATTAAGAAGGAACATAGAAAGGTTATCTGACTAACATCTAGCAGCTAAATGTGTGTGAAAAAATATTCAAAAGCTTTTATTTTTATAAACAGCACAGATGTGAATGTGTCTGAATGTTCTCATTGGCTGGGGGAGACGTCTCACGTCAGCAAGTTCTAATCATGAACATGCTTTCATGCTTATTTTTTTGGGTAGGTGTAGATCAGTGGTGTCCAAACCAGGTCCTAGAGGGCCAGTGACCTGGAAAGTTTAGCTACAACCCTAATCAAACACACCTGAACCAAGCTCTTACTAGATATAAACCTTCCTGGCAGGTGTGTTGAAGCAAGTTGGAGCTAAACTCAGCAGGACACCAGCCCTACAGGACCGAGTTTGGACACTCCTGATGTAGATGTTAATAGCGCACAACGTAATGGCTAATTCAATAATTAACATAAATAATTCTCGTTTCTTGCAACAACCGATCACACATGCACATCTACTACATATTAGACCTGATCCCGTACGTCATCGTGCTACAGTCTGCAGCGAAGACACACTCCAGTACTTCCACACCTACTTATGTTCCATTCATAAATTCTCTTTTCTTTTTTAAATGCTAACTTTCCTTCCCTAACCCCAATGGCCTTCAATGAATATTGCATCACCTTTCCCTACAGGACGTTTATTTTACAAATCCGATACTTCAGATTTTCTCAGCTCTCCCAACCTCATCAAATGCACCACTGGAGTCTCCCAGAAGAACGCTGTTTAACCAATCCATCAAGCACAGCTGATATAATACTGCCATTGTAAAGTGGGAGTAAATGCCATTGAGGTGCAGTGTAAAGATTACCCAGGCTCCCGTCTGAGAGGTTTATCTAAATCTCGATATCTTTGTGTGCTTCTTAAAAAGACTGGAGAAAAACTGAAAGATATCAGCTCTTTGCAGGGGGTTGTCCTCGTTCACCAATTTGATGTTATCCTGCACTATTTCAAACTCCCGGGGGCACAAAATAAAGCTATTAAACTATAGGTGTATACCTGCATGCTTTTATGTAACCAAGCGAGATTTCCAGAAAGACTCATAGCAAAACAGAAAGAAACTTGAAGGCGATGGGCTTCATCCTACATTCTTTTTGATAAAATGCCTACCTGAGCTCAAAGACGAGTAATGCAATAAAGAGAAGTAAAAAAAAAGACTTCTGAGAGCAAGCTTTAGTCTTTTATCTGTAGGAGGGTCAGACCTTATCATTGCGTACAAGCACTTCTTTGAATGCACCTGCGAAGTGACATCACTTCATTCACATCAGTAGAAAATGGCAGTGCCTATCGTTTCATGTTGAGAAAACAATGCTTAAGATGTTTCCTTTTGTTGATGTGAAACGTCATACTGCGACTTTCAGCATTCCTCAATTCATTCACTAACACAGATGTTAGATTTGTGAGAGTTCTTTATGAAGGTTACGAGGTATGAACAGCTCTCAGAGGAGAATACTGATTGCTTATTAATTTATACCTGTTATGGCTGACTTGTAGCTCCCCCAGGAGTTGGTTCTTGAACCACTGATCAAAGTCCACGTTGTCAAACAATTCATAAGCGGCTAACCCCACGGCATTGTACACTGGAGAGAGAAAAAAGAAAAGAAAAAAGTTACCATTTAATTGTTTTGAACTGAACGACTTTGTTTTGATCATTTATAAATAAACAGTGGTGTTAAAGCTCTTTTTAAAGTTTTGTACAGTCATTTTTTTAAACCACAATAAATACGGAAATGATCAATTAGCTAAAATAGGTAGCAGATCAACAAATCAGTAAACTATCTATCCACCCATCCATCCATCTATATTAATTTATCCATACCCCTGTATCCAATCCATTCAACCTTTCAATCCACCATTCACAAACCTACCTATCTATCTATCTATCTATCTATCTATCTATCTATCTATCTATCTATCTATCTATCTATCTATCTATCTATCTATCTATCTATCTATCTATCTATCTATCTATCTATCTATCTATCTATCTATCTATCTATCTCTATTCATCTCTGTATCCATATCCCTCTATCCAATTCATTCAACCTTCCAATCCACCTCTTACCAATCTACCTGTCTCTGAGATCTCTATCCATCCCAATCGTTCTTTATCCATCCACCCATACACCAATGTTAATCCATTCATCCATCTCTATATATCAACCGATCTCTATCCATCAACCCACTTATCTCTACCGATCAATCCATCTCCATCTATCCATCCAGCTATCAATATTTATCCATTCATCAACATCACTCTATCCAATCTATTAAATGTTTCAATCCACCATTTAACAATCTACCCTCTCTATCTCTCTATCCAACCCATTCATACTTTATTCATCCACCCATACACCAATGTTTATCCATTCATCCATCTCTATCTCTCCATCAATCTCTATCTATCAACCCATCCATCTATATCTATTTATCCATCTATCCATCCATCCATCCATCCATCCATCCATCCATCCATCCATCCATCAATCAATCAATCCAGGTTCACAACACCAATATATTTCTAGACACTGTGAATGAATGAATTTAATTTACATATAGCGAGCAAGTGTGTGAGCCAATGAGCAAGAGAGTAAAGTGAGCCAATGAGCATTAGTAAGTGAGGGAGCAAATTAAAATAATGTATGGCTGAATCAGCACATTAGTGAATTAACGCAGTGATCCTCAACCACCAGGACACAAACAAATACCGGTCCATTGATCAATTGGTACTGGGCCACACCACATAAATCAATAATAATTATTTCTGTTTTATTTATTAGGCGAGTCTGAACTATCTTTTTATCTTGAAAAATCTTTTATTTTGAAAAATGACCTTATTCTATATACATTATATATACATATTATATATACATCTCAGGTCACTTGAGCGCCCAAATTTAACCTACAAGCAGCAAAATGAGTACAGACATCTTTGGAAAGTTCCTTTGCTAAGAGGAAAAGGCCCAGTAAAGGACCAGCAAATTGCCAAGGAATGGATCCGCAACCCATTTGTCAACCCTTCAGGTGAATCCAGCATGTCTGTGGAAAAAGATCAACTACTGGAGATTGCAAATCACTGCGGTCTCTTAATGGCAGTTTGCATATAGCATCTTTTTTAGAGTTTGGTGACTCACTCATACCTTCCAGACCAGACGCAAGCAATTTGAATAAATTCTGCAAGCGCACTGCAAGTCACGTGACAAGAATTGACCGATCAGCTTCAGCTTGTATCCATCCATCTCTATCCATACATCCATCTCTATCTATTCATTCATCTATCCATCCATCCATCCATCTGTCTTCATATCCCTTTATCCAATCTATTCAACCATTTACCAATCTACCTATCTCTATCCAACCCATTCATACTTTCAATCCATTCATAAACCTACCTATCTCTCTATCTATCAGAACCTACTATTCATACTCCTACTCCACCACTCATTTCTTCCATCAGTCCATCATCTATCCATCCACCATGTCATCCATCCATCATTTCATTTATCTGGCCGTTCCTATAACATTCAACCATGCACATCAACCATCCAACCAATCAATCATACAGTACATACATGTCCACCCATACATTATTCCATCCATCCACCAATTACAAATTGATAGATTTATCATCTATGAATCATTTTCTTCATACATTAATCCACCTATCAATACTCTATTACTTACCTTCTTACCTATTACTTACCTTATTACTTATTTATCCATGTTTTCATTCATTGTTAAATCCATCCATCCTTTCCTTTTTCTCAACCAACCTTTTGATTCTTTAATAATCCACCAATGTGTCCATCAATCTATTCATCTTTACATCAATCCACTCCATTCTTCATTTTATCCATTATATTTCTTTAATCTATCCAACCATGCATCCATCAAATGTATTCGTTTAACCATTCATCTTTATCCAGCCATTTATCCATATCCATCTTGATCTATTGGGTATTTATCCATCCATCTTCATCCATCCTCCCACTATTTTTCCCATCCATTCGTCCATCCTTTTATCCATCCTCCTATCCATTTTCAAATACATCCAAAAATGAATCAATCACCAACCCTTTCTTCCATCCATCAGTCCACCAAATCTGTTCTTTCATTCATTTCTATTCATCAACCCACCCTCCATGTCGGATATCTGTTTTTTTTATTCATTATAGTGAATCTTGAACATAAAATTTCTTATTTCAGTCATAGACATCACTCATATTTCAGTCAGAGCGAAAAGGTAACAAGAAAAGCATGACTGTACCTGCATCCTTCATGAGCATCTGCACTGGGTCTTCCACATTACTGGGGCCTAAAACAGAGAGAAAGAGTGCATTTAGTGTTGGTCCTTCACTGTCTGCACACAATGTGCTTCAGGCTTTTTGGAAACATCTACAACTCCCACATCTGTATTAACTTTGACTTAACTACTTTGCAAACAGCCACTTTGCAAACATTGCTAAAAGCGTTAAAGCGTGTAATAAAATAGCATAAAACCTTTGTCCCTTTTCCCTTAGCCAATCATAATTAGCCATCCCAAAGTGACAATGAGCGGGTGACACTCCTTATTGTCCAAGTAAAATTATAACCCAGGGAAAGAAAACTCATGAAGCTAGCAAATTACGAGTAGGAGATTAGCTGAGGGGTCATTAACAGAGTCATCCTCTTAATGTGTGCTTTTGTTATTTCACGCTCTGACATACAATTTGCAAAAATAGCACCTGCTATTGTCCTTAATATTAACAAGATATCAAAACACAAATGACAAGCCCCATGCTAAAATCTAATTCCTTATCTCAAAACACTTAAGACTCTTTCAAATGGCCACATTAATATGGCTAAGCACATCATCCAAATTTAATCATGACAGCAAATTTTAATCAACTAATTTACACGAAAAGCTCATTTAAGTCATTCACTAATTAATTAGGGAGCCAGATCAAAAGCAATGAGAGCGTAACATTTGTTAGATGATCCTTGTATTTGGCTTAAAGTGCGAGCCTAATTGCTGCATGCAGCGCTAAACAGAGCTGTAACCCTGGACCCACTTTAGCACATCAGGGTGTGCTTTAAAAAGCTGACATTTGCCCTGTAAGGCTACAATCAAAAAGTCCACATCTAAAGTAGAACCCCAGATGACTCTGTCAGTTTCTCCCCCATAAAAAAGTAGAGAAAACCCCTCATTTAAAAACAAAGAGCTTTGAAGAACTGATGGCTTTGCGTGTGTCATTTGGTGTCAACCCATCCTCTCAAAGCTAATGTCAGCCAGAAGCTAGAAATGACAGAGTACTTCCATGCTGAAAAACTTCAAAAAGGGATTTTGTAAAAAGCATGTGGCATTTGAGCATGTTTTTTTACTGTTGCCTCCTGTAGCACACGAGTGGCTCTTCAAAATATTTCATGTGAGAAAGTAACATGTTAATTAGCATAGATAAAAAGGGACCTGCAGTGTGAACTGTTGGTAAATCAACCGTCAGTTTAAAAATAACACTTGTTTTCACCGTGTTCTCAACTACTCCCACTCCAGATGTGACACTTCTTTTATTATCTACTCTCATTATTAATATAATGACAGTTCATTTAACCAGTGACTTTTTTTTTATCACTAAGTCTTTAATCAGCACATCAAAAGCACTGACTTGTCTAATCTATTCATCGTGTCCTTGAATTCCAGGATTCATGCATGAAAATGCACACTTTTTAGTAATTGATGTAATAAATACATCCCTGCTAGAAAAAAATATCAAAAACTTGAACCAAGCCATGGGTTCACAACACCAATATATTTCTATATACTGTAAATGAATTAATTAAATTACATATAGTGAGCAAACGTGTGAGCCAATGAGTAAAATGAGCCAAAGAGGATTAGTGAGGGAGTGAATTAAAATAGTGAATGGGTAAATCAGTACTTTAGTAAATTAACGAATGAAATATGAGTAAATAAAACAATGAGTAAACATAGCGGATTAGATGAATCAGAGACTTAGTAGTGAGAGAAGTAGTGAACTAGATGAATAAGTGAGTGAATCAGTTAGTGGGCAAGTTAAATGAAGTGAGTGAGTGAGTCAATCAGTGAGTAGCTGCGTCCCAAATGGCACACTATACACTATGCACTCATGCACTCTGTACTTATGCACTAAAACACTCAACAGGATAGCATTTGTATGTAGTCGCATCCCAAATGGCACACTAATGTTTTTTTTACTAAGAGGAAATTCAAACCGTTTCCCTGATGATGTTTGACGGTTGCCAAATCAGTGAAATAAACGACCGATTTATCAATTAATACCTGCCGTGAGTATTGCCGCATTCACCATCGGGAGGCGCTATAATCACTCTCGTAGGAGAATTAAGCTTTCACTATCCAAAACAAAGTTATTCAACATGCGTGTTCGATAGCTCAGCCCCTTCCGCTACGTAAGCAAACCTGCGGTCTTTGAGTGCGTGAAGTGTCCATCATTACACACTTCATTTTAGCGGCTGAATGACTGCATCATCCGGGTAATTAAAGTGCACTTATTATTTTTAGAGTTTTCAGTGTGAACGCACTACTTACACTATTTATACTACAAAATGGCGTAGAATAGTGCATAAGTATGCGATTTGGGATGCAGCTACTGTTTCTCGAGTACTCAAATTTGTATTGATTTACCTGATCAACACCATGTAGGACAAAACGTTGTGCTATGTGATATTAAAAGACTTTTGAGAGCTAAAGTGGCAATGTGTCGATTTTCTTTTGATCTTTTGCTAATTTGTTTATTTTTCATCGAGCACTTGCCTCTGAGATTTTTAGATGTGCGCACATTTCTTTTTTGTTTGCCAAACAAGCAAGTTAATGAAAGTAGTTTGTGAGCGAATCAGTGAAAGAGTAAGTGAATCAATGCATAGAATGAGTGAGAGAAAGAATGGGTGAGTAAATCAGGCAATGAGTGAGTGACTGAATCAGTGATTTAGTGAACTAATGAATTGAGCAAGTGAGAGAAGAAATGAGTGAATCAGTTAGCGAGCGAGTTCTTAAATACAGTGAGTAAATCATTGAATTAATGAATGGAGAGTAGGTGAAAGATTTAGTGAATCAATTTGTAAATCAGTAAAAGTTGGTGAAGTAATGAGCTGATGAGAGAGAGAAGGAATGAGTGAGTGAATCAGTGAGCATGCGAGCGAGCAAGTTAATGAATGTAGTGAGTGAGTGAATCAGTGAGCAAAAGAATAAGTAAAAGAGCTAAATTAATGACTGGAATGAGTCTGAGAAGAAATAAATGATTGAATCAGTGAGCAAGAAAGAGAGAGAGTTATTAAATAAATGAATGGAATGAGTGAGAAGAAATACGTGAGTGAATCAATCAGCAAGCATCTATTTGAGTGAATGAGTGAAAAAATGACAGAATAATTCTGAGTGTTGGCGAATTAAAATCGGTTGAATGAGTGATGTAATAAATGGAGTGAGTGAAAAAAGGAATGAATGAGTGAATCAGTTGAATAAGTGAATTAATGAATGGAGTGAGTGAATCAGCTGAGTAAGTGAATTATTGAATAGAGTGAGCAAAAAAAAAAAAAAAAGAAATGAGTGGCCTGACATCACAATCAATGTATTGTATTATATGAAGCAGTCTGAAGTGTTCACATAAAGTAGACATGATCCCACGATCAAAATCAAGGAGTTCAAGAGTCTGATTTCTTTTATCTTGGCTATGATGACAGTAAATAATATTTGACTAGATATTTTTCAAGACACTTCTATCCAGATTAAAGTGACATTTAAAGGCTTAACTAGGTTAATTACGTTAACTAGGCAGTTTAGGGTAATTAGTCAAATTATTGTGTAATAATGGTTTGTTCAGAAGACAAATAGCTTAAAGGGACTAATAATTTTGACCTTAAAATGGCATTAAAAAATTTAAAACTGCTTTTATTCTAGCCGAAATAAAACATAAGACTTTTCCCAGAAGAAAAAAATATTATCAGACATACTGTGAAAATTTCTTTGCTCTATTAAACATCCTTTGGGAAATATAAAAAAAAGCAAAGGGGGGCTAATAATTCTGATTTCAACAATATATATATATATATATATATATATATATATATATATATATATATATATATATATATATATATATATATATATATATATATATATTAGGGATGTAACGGTATCAGAATTTCACGGTACGGTAATACCTCGGTATGAATGTCACGGTACGGTATTTATTGAATCATTAACAGGAAAAAACAAAACTTATGAAAATACTCCAAAAAAGTGCCAAAAGTGTCAATGACATACAAATTAGCCATCTATCTGTAAGCTTTGAAACAGGAACTTCAATTTTAATAACAAAAAAATATAAAACCATGTAAAAAAATAAAGTTTCAATTTAGTATTGTTGAAAACTCATCATATTCAACATTTAATCACTCACTCACTTAGATAGAGATGGGTTTAAAGGAAAATTATCATATAAATATAATCTGGTAAAAGCTGGTATCTCTGGGTATTTACAATGTCCCCTGCAACAGAAAAACCCCTCTCATTTGGGACTGAGGTTTCTGGGACAAGAGAGATATGACTTGGCCCAGGTTGACAGCAGTGGGTAACGTTGTGCATTGTCTTTCCCCCACTTGAGAGGACAAGCCATGAGTGAGATAGAGGTCTCATGTCTGCATCAATCTGAACAGTGTGCTGACAACACCGCTATTCAGTACGCGCGCGACAACACAGCTGATAAGAACTCGCGTGACAACACCGCTATTCAGTACGCACGCGGCGACAACACCCGCTTTAGAGTTTTCCAGCTCTTTTTGATCCCCGCTTCTAGCAGCACACTCCATTTCCGCATTACTGGATCTGTAGCGACAACAGAGCGCAAGGGATAATGGTCAAGCATGGGCTGATGGGAATTGTAGTTTTCGCTACCTCCCGTTCGCTTCATTCGCCTGAGCAAATTTTCTCAGAAGACCTATAGTTTTACCGAGTCATGCAACTACAGTAATATCGAAAAAAATTAATATTGCGGTATGACGGTATTTACAATACCGTTACATCCCTAATATATATATATATATATATATATATATATATATATATATATATATATATATATATATATATATATATATATATATATATATATATAATTTTCCTTTTTTTAGATTGAAAAAATATCTCCAACTAGGGCTGCGCAATATTTTGCAATGTGATCATTCACAATAGTCACAATGCAGGATATCCAATGTTGAGTCTGGATTATAATTGATTATTTCTCAAGTGTTTATTGAGGCCTTTTATTTTAGTTTTTTTTAAGGCCTTTATAAGGACCCAAAAAGCATTCAAGAATAAGAAATTGTAGCATTTGTAATTTTGGAAAAACTAAAAATGATTAATGTTAATTATTTATGCAACGAAGATAATGCAGTATTATTTGACACTTTATTATTCAATTACTGAATATCAGAATACAGTTAGGCCCCGTTTACACTGCCAGTTAAATGTGACTTAATTCCAATTTTATGCTTACATGTGACAGAGATCTGATCTGTTCTATGACCATGTAAGCACAAAAATGCATGCATTCGGATTTCAAGATCGGTCTCAGGCCTCCTTTATATGTTGGAATAAATCATGTGACAATGCGACTATCATGTAAACAGGCACATCAGATTTATTGAGGCATTCCATCTTGTGACAATGTAAAATGTGATGTGTCACTGTAGGACAGGTATGTGGAGAAGCTTTGGCACAGTATATCAAATGTTGGTCTGCTCATCCTAAAAGTTGGGACCCACTGCTCCTCATCAAAGCCCGCCACAATTTGCTCCCACCAGATCTGAGATCTCTCGCGTACCCACAAATTCCTAATTGCCTCAAAATCATTATAAAGTTGGCTTCGCATAATTCGCAGAGCTAAAAGATAAGATTTTCTTCCATCGTGGCTAGTGTGGCGCATATGCTAGAACCCACCTTTACACATGTGCGACATCATGAATTTTATGGCAAGTGTAAACACATAAATCAGATAAGGGTCATAATTGAAAGAATCTGTAAACGGACAGGCAAAAAAATTTGATATAAACAACAAACCAAAATTGGGCATTAAGACCTGACCATGTAAACTTGACCTTAGACTCCTCTGGAAAAAAAACGAAACGCTTCTTATTTAACCGGTTTATTTTTAATTATTGAATTTATCAATGCTTGTAGATATAGAATCATCCCAATCTATCTAAAATTATAAATTCTTTCCAAATAGTTATTCAAGTCATCTAGTGAAACTGTATTTATATCGCAATATATATCACAGAGTTACAAAACATTAGTAAGAAATAAATAAAAAAATGCAATGTTTCTATCTCCAACTATTCTAAAAGCAGTGATTCTTTCATTTCAACACAATCTGTGATGCTAGTCTTGTGAAATTCAAGATCTGAAATCAACACAAAAATAACAAAACCAACCTTGAAGATTCTGCACCATCTCCAGAAGAACGGGTGTCAAAGTCTGACTGTAGTTGTGGAAAATGTCCAAGAAAAGTACTTCTGTGGATGGCTGTAAAACATTGAATGAAACAAAGAGAAACAGAATGAGACAAGGGCATCGGGGAGCATTCAACACATGAACAACCCTTAAACAAACATTTACCCACCAACACAAACACATGAAAAACAAAACGGGGAAAAAAGAACATCTGGTTTTCCAGGCTATCCATCACTCCTGCCAACACAATCAATAGTTAGCATTGGAGGAGGGGTCATGGAGTAAGACCCGACACTGTGGCCTTCAGCATCTATTACTACAAGCTGAGACATTGACCTCCCATAGGGGAAAAAGGAGCTCAAAATATCACACCTTAGGAAAGTCTGTCAAGCTCAACATTCGGCATACATGTCAAATCATATGTTCTATGCCTTCCGGAAACCTGACATAATCAATCGAAAAATCAATAAGGGCAGGTACTTGGGCTATAAAAAGACTTAATTCTGGAACTGAGTTGAAGACTTCAGTTATTCGAATAATTTGAATTCAGTACATAGATTTTAGCTTCTAACAAGGAGGGTGCATGATTAGTCAAAGCCAAAAATCACAGTATGGGCTAGTGCTATTACCAAATCAAAAAGGCTGCAATTTAATTTAATCAATATATACATAGCAGGTTTAGGCGTAAGAAATGACCCATATTTTCTGTGTCTCTGAGCAATTTGCATTGACTTCACACACAGTACATGCTGATCTACACAATCACATCTCTGCATCTGCTTCTATAATGCTCTGGGTCACTTATACTGTGCATTTGGGAACAAAACGTGCACTAAGCATCTTCCCAAACTTGCACTGAGAAGCACTAATAAACTGGCTGATGTCAACAAAAGAGAACCTTTGGGCTATTTTTGCATTTGTTATTTATTATTTGTTAACTATATAATAATATTAAAAAAGAAAAACAAACTTAAAGGGGGGTTAATAATTCTGACTTCTTCTGTGTATATATATATATATATATATATAAACTGAATATATATATATATATATATATATATATACATACATACATATTTATATATACATACATATATATATATATATATATATATATATGTATATATATATATATATATATATATATATATATATATATACACACACAACAGTTCTGTCTGGTTCTTGAATCTGATTGGCTAAAAGCCGTGATATATTTCTGTAATATCAGCACCCGTACAGCCTCTTTACCCTTTGTGTATTACTCCGGCCACATACAGCCAGCAAATAGCAGACACTACAGATCTAAAGTCTAAAAGATACTTGCTCAGCTTTTTAAATGTCAGCTTATGATTTCAATCTAAGGCGGAAAAAAGCAGTTTTTGAGACTCTCCATGTTTGATTTTGTTTTTATATATATCACATTCATAGCAGTGCGATATGGCTGTATTTCAGCACATCGGTATATGTATATATGTATGTATGTATGTATGCATGTATATGTATATGTATATATATATATATATATATATACAGGGCTCGAAATTGCGACCATTTTGGTCGCATATGCGCCCGAATTTTTATCTATGCAACCTTAAAATATATTTGGGAGCATTTCTGCGAGTGCTTAAAATGTGCTTAAAATGTTCAGGACATGCGCGGATTCGGAAGACATTCACGCAGAATGCATGTCTAAGCTCTTTGTCTGCACTTGGAACGCGAAACGCAGCACTCAGGAATGGTTTAAAACAGTTGTCATGTCAACTTGCTGCAGTAAACAAATCCAAGTCCGTAATGCTTGCCCCGCCTTCGCGCTCTTCTTATTGGCCCAACACTGCTCTAGCACTGAACGCAAATGATTGGTTAATATCAGCTGTCAATCACTCAGCGCCTTCTGGCTTCGGATGACAGAGAGAGCTATTACCGCAAAAAAACTGTAAATCTCTGAAGATGAGAATGAAGATAACACTGACAGATTTTGTTTTAGAAACCATCTAGTAACAAATAATGACACATACTACTAGTGATCATGTGCTGAATGTTAATCCACCATCTACACTTTTCCAAGAGTAGAAGACTTCCATTGTTTTCAAGTCCGCTATGAAAAGTCTGTGGGATGGAATTTTCAGGTAACTGTTTGCCACATCTAGCACAAGAGCTTCTGTTTAATCCTTCATATAATCGCCAGATGCTGTCCGCCGTGCAAGTGACAGCTATGTCAAATTTAACACCACGTACACCATCGCAAACGGGCTTGCACTGAGTAAATTAACATCGCTACTCCTAAAAAAACAGGTATTGCTATTAACATGTATGCATATAATAAGGTACAGTATGTGTCAAAAGCATCAGTGCAATATCAGACAGCACTTGTGAGAACAGCACAGTTATACCGTTAACAGATTCATTCAAGCAGTGCGTGCAGGGCCATTGTTATAAAAATGTATTTTCTTATGATAACAGGATTTAGTTGAGACATATTTTCCTTACGCTAGCATATATATATATATATATATATATATATATATATATATATATATATATATATATATATATATTTTTTTTTTTTTTTTTTTTGCTTGTTAGTTTGATTATTGTTGATTTCAAATACAATAAATCTGTTTATATAACACTTGTAGTAACAGTGCTCAGAATTGGTGGGTGCGACTAAATTTTGGCTGATGCGCCTACATTTTTAAAGTTAGGAGCACCGGTGCTACCAAGCAAAAAGGTTAATTTCGAGCCATGATATATATATATATATATATATATATATATATATATATATATATATATATATATATATATATTTATATACATATACATATACATACATATAGACAGAAGAAGTCAGAGTTATTAGCCACCCTTTGAATTTGTTTTTCTTTTTTAATATTTCCCAAATTATGTGTTTAACAGAGCAAGGAAATTTTCACAGTATGTCTGATAATATTTTTTTTCTTCTGAAGAAAGTCTTATTTGTTTTATTACGGCTAGAATAAAAGCAGTTTTAATTTTTTTAACATTTTATGGTTAAAATGATAAGCCCCTTTAAGCATAATTCTTTTTTTTTCCATAGTCTAAAGAACAAATGTTCATGACTTGTGATTAAGTGCTTTGGACTGACGTACAACCCTCGCATTTCCTACAGATCGTTTGCAAGTAGAAAGAAAAAAAAACACCATGTACTATAAGTCAAACACTGTATGCAAGCAAGCCATTTATTTTCAAAATTACCTGAAGGCGAAGCGTTTCGAGGGTATTTCACAGAGTAAGTGACAAATAAACGCTCCTCTCATCTGAGGTTATAAGTTTAGCCAATGTCATTTTAAAGCCAGGATATAAAAGCCACATTAAAGCAGGCAGGCAGATGTAATGCAAATCAAGTGGCATGAGGTTAGTAACAAATGACCCCTGTAGAGTCGCAGCCTCCCTATGTAAATTCCACAGAAATGAGACAGAGCCCTGATTCACTTTAATTCAGTCGCTTTGCAGTTACTGACACTTCTGCTGACCTTGGAAATTCACTTTCCTGGGAGTTGCTACACCAAAAGATGTGCAAATGGAAATTTTCCGTGTGCAAAAAGGTATTTTAAGTTGAGGCAGTGCAAATACAGCTTTTTCAACCAAGTGGTGGGCCATTATCGCCGTTAACGTGCTGCGTTAACGTGAGACTCTTATCGCGCGATTTTAAAAAAAATATTGCCGTTAATCTATTCTCAAAATTGGGTTGGGAGTTGGGTCTATTCTATGCAAGCTATGATGACTTTCATCTTGATATTTTTGTGCTGATGTAAACCTGGTCGAATTGCACTGTAGGTGGCGAGAACGAGTCTTCGAACCTGTGTGTATTCCTAAAAAAAGAAAAACTCTCAAAAGTTTTTCAAGTTTGTGATGCATTTTGGAAACAGGAGATGAGCCCCTGGTCTAATGCGCCACCTGGCTTGAGAAACCCATTCTCAAAGACTTACTTTTAGTCATCATTTGGGTAGCACACATTTTCTGAACGCCTTCGGCAGAATTCAAATGAGCCATTTTAATCTAGATTAATTCCAAGATTACAGATAGAATAATCTAGAGTTTAAAAAAATGTATCCATGCCCACCAACTGTTCTGAAGGTTTTATGCAATATTTTTTTCCCCATAATTCACCTGATGAAAACATGACAAAATTTATTTTGACAAAGTCATACCTCCACAACTCTTTGCCCAATAAGCTTTCAGTACAGGCCACAGGGCTCTCCTATCAATTTGTGCACTTCCCAGGGAAATAATGAATAATTTTACGTACAAATTACATAATGATTTCACACAAAAACAGACATATAGGGCCACATTTTGCATACGAGCTGAAATATTCAAGACGTGAGCAAAATAAAGACTGAAGCTAAAGCCTGTAAATATTATGATGGAAGTTTGGATAATTTGAAAAGCATTAAAATGTTACAAATTGATCTCCTAACATAATTCAAAAACATACACAAAATTTGCAGTGTTTTTTGAATCCCCTCTGTAAAAACTTCTTAATGTACGTAAAAAATAAAATTATATTAGTTTTTTGTTTAATTTTGTACTGAATATATATGCAAATGAGTGCATATTTAATGAAATGTCTCATTTGCATAATCAAATGTAACATTTTAGAAAACTTGCAAACAAAATCTGCAATTATTAACGTTATAAATCAATCCGGGAAGTACGGTGATATCTATAGGTAGGATTGTCACGAAACTGGAATTTGATACCAATCAGTACTAAAATTATCTATAGGTGTGTCCTAAATCGCATACTTATGCACTATTCCACGACATTTTGTAGTATAAATAGTGCATTTACACTGAAAACTCTAAAAAGAAGAAGTGAACTTTAAATACCCAGATGATGCACTTATTCAACCGTTAAAAAAAAAAGTGTGATGATGGACACTTCACACACTCAACGACCACAGCTTTGCCCATGTATCCGAAGGGGCGGAGCATTCGGGCACTGATGTTTGGATTGTGAAAGCAGTACTCTCCTACGAGAGTGATTATAGCACCTCCCAATGGTAAATGCCTTTATACCTATGGCAGGTGTTATTTGGTAGTTTGAACATTTATTTCACTAATTTGGCAACCGTTAAACGTCATCTGCGAAACGGTTTGAATTTCCGCTTAGTAAAAAAACCCATTAGTGTTCCATTTGGGACGACACAACATTCATATACTATGTCATTTGGAATGCAGTTTATCAGTTTATTTTTAACACATTCAGGTGCAGAGTCTCACCTTAAAAACTGACAACTATAAATGAAAGCGTATTTTATAGAAAGTGTTCACTTACCCGCAAGCTATACTTCCAAGAGTCACCACCTGTCTCTTCCACAGCTGAAGAAAGAAACAACAATAAATGCAACTTGTCACAACATACATCATGCACTTTAAAGGGACAGTTCACTCACAAACAAGCATCCAGCTAGTTATTCATCCTCATGTCATTAGAAACCCACTGAAGAATGTGCTGTCCACTCTTTTCAGCATAATGGGGCTGAAAGAGGGACCGAGGCTGTCAAGCTTCAAAAAGCAAAATCATCCTACTTCTGCGCAATTTTCAGAGTGGTCTAAAGCCACACGATTGCTTTGTGACAAACTAGCACAGTTTTGGTCATCATTCACTGATAATCTTCCACTCCAGTGGACTGTTAACCATTCTGACCGGATCATTGAGTCAGTGAGCAGAGTTTTTCTCAAGAACGGACCCTTTTTATGATTCTTTTATGGTGTTTGCTTTTCATTTTGCAGCTTGATCGTTTTAGTCCACTTTCTTTCTCATTATATGGTGGCAAGAGTGGACTGGATATTTTTCAAAAGACACTTTTTATGGTCCAAGGAGAAAAAAGAACACTTCTTAACAACAAACTGGGGGTCATAACGTTTTTTTAAACATTTTGAAGAAAAATGCTGACTAGAGATGCTTTGATTTATACAAAAAAAACAGTAGAACTATGAAATATTACCACAATTTAAAATGACTTTTCTGTGTGAATATTTAAAATGCAGTAAGTTCGACACCCAGTGGTTGAACTAGGTATTGCACTCCTGTTTAAAAACAAACGCATGAGCAGGTTGCCAGGTTGACAACACCAACAGCAGTGTGGCTGACTATTGAGCCTAAAAGCTGACTTAAATCATATTCTAAAAAAAAGCATCGGCATGATTTTAGGAGGCAAATTTTCCATGTTAAAAGGAGTTTTAGTTCTAACCAACACCTGAAATTTATATTTTAGAAACGGCTTCTATTTCTTGCAGCTGAACAACAGAAAACAGAGTTTACCTCAGGTATACCTAATGTGCTTTATTCAGTGTTAATTGCTAATAACGCAAGTTTGAATGCCATTTTACATGAGATTTACTGTCATACTACTTGAAAATCAAAATAAAACTGTGACTCAGTGCAAGCCAACAGTAAAGCCAAATATCAGTGATTCAGCAAGTACATTTAATTATGTTAAAGAGGTTTAATGTGTATTAATTAGATTATAAACCTTACCATATCATTGGAGTGTGGTAAGTGCACTGTTCTGTGCTTCTGAAATGCTTTATTAAAATTTCTGCTGTGTTTTGTCTGATGACAAATTGCTTATCACCAGAAATCTTGTCATAGCACGTTGTTATGACACAGGGTTACAATGTAACCTGCTTACCTGATGTTTATGCTTATAATATTTATGTTTATATTATTTTCTAATAAGTAATCACCTCATGTGAAACTCTGAATTTGCATCTCATTCCAGAGGCTGCTACTGTTCACTGGAGGTCACATTTCAGTTATGGACGCAAACTTTGAGAGCCTTCCTGACTGACTGAGTGACTGAGTGAGTGACTGACTGACTGACTGACTGACTGAATGAATGAATGAATGAATGAATGAATAAATGAATGAATGAATGAATGAATGAATGAAATACGTGGTTTGCAACATAGACAATCTGGGGTGTTGATATATAATTGGCATTAAACTAAACTGGCATTTGGTGGGTTAAATATTCAAAAAAAAAAAAAAAAGACAGACGTTAAATATCAAAATAAATATCAAAATAAATATCAAAATAAATAAATAAATATATATATATATATATATATATATATATATATATATATATATATATATATATATATATATATATATATATATATATATATATATAAACAAATACTGTTAAAATAAGAAAGATGATTTTACCGATTTCACTAAAATATTAGGCAACAATAACTATTCAACAGTGGCAATAAGAGGAATGATTATTAAGGGTCACGAAACACCAAAACACATTTTTTAAGGTGTTTACAGTCGTATATATGTGTCCCATACTGCTAAAAACACTATTAGGACACATATTTCACTAAAAAGTGAAAATTGGTTGTTATTGCGTTATTTCGAGCAAATTCGTACTTCCGGTTTGAAAAAATTTTTGAAGCTGCATCACGGCCATGAGATTTTAGCATGTCTTCCAGTGTGTTGACTGGACGTTTGTACCTAGGTGTACCATATTACGTCTCCAAGTGGGCTGCAATAATGCATGAGTAAGGCTTGGTTCAAACCAATCAGCGTGCTCTATTGTGCAACTTCATTAATATTCATTAATGTTACAGTGTAGACGGCAGAGACGCCACATTGTGTTGGCAAAACAAGCGTGCAGTGTTGCTTTCATAATTTGCTTTAGTCAAGTTTTGTTTTCATTTTCTCTCTTCAAGAGCGCAGCTGGAGTCACGTGTGGATTACAGTATTCGCGACAACAATAACTTACGTGTCTATTAACATTGTTTACCTGAGAGCTTTTCTCTTCTGCAAATGGAGATCCGGATTCGCCTGTAGTCTCTTCTTAATAAAGACGCGGCTCTAGTTGCTGGTGATTGTCCTGTCTACAGATTTGGTAAGTGAGCGACCAGTGCTCTTTGTCTATTCAGTTTGTTCGTATAGAACTAACTATTGCACCGAGTGTAAACATGTTAGCACCACAACCAAACTATTACTGCCGTGTAGGATTTTCACCGCGTTTTGTGACCAGAATAACACACGCGGTTTACCTGCCGAGTGCATCTAAGTTACAGAGAAATGCAGAGTTTATTTTTTTCTCTCATTCACCGTGCAGTATTAAACATTGCATGAAAAATACACGCTTACAGCAGTTCCTCGAATCAAAAATCTCGTTTGTCACGAGGGGCATGAATGAATTCCCTGAATGAAAATGCCAAACTGCAGTTAAAGTCCACCATCAAATAATTTGACAAATAATTTGATTACAGATGTTCATGTAAACACAGTCACTTTCTCCCGTGTGTGTGTGTGTGTGTGTGTGTGTGTGTGTGTGTGTGTGTGTGTGTTTTGACTCTGAAACTCAGCTTGTGTTCAAATCGACACTCCCACACCATCCCTCTTTTGCTTCTCCAACACTCCCCCCTAAACAGAGCTGGACACGCCCACTTTTCTGGCTTTTTCCAAAGTAGAGTTGTGAAAACACCCTGCTGAAACGAGGGAGTTTCATGGCCCTTTAACATTTGAGCACCACTAATAATTGAGAAGAATGGATAAGAAATTAAGCAGTTTAAATTATTTATGAAAAACTGCTAAAAATTAAGCTGACATAGCAAAACCAAAAATTTTAAATACAGTGGTCCCTCGTTAATCATGGTAGTTACGTTCTAAAAATAACGCACAATAGGAGAAAACCTGGACAAATTGGGATCCAACTGGCCTCTGTCCATCTAAAAACATTCTGTACTGCACGATGCGCTAATCAGGATGCAGAACACAATGTGCTGTAAAAAATATAGCATGTCAAATTGCACTAAAAAAAATCTGCAAAACTGCAAGGCTGCGACAGGTGAACCACGTTATAGCGAGGGACCACTATTTAATCAAAACATAAAACAGTACTTTATATTGGTAAAAGTAATGTTTTAACTACATACTGTATTTAGCTAAATAAATAAGTCTTAGTAAGGGAAAAAAGATAAAATGTTGCTTTTTTTTTCTTTTCTTTTTTTTACAAACAACTTTATTCCAAACTTTTGACCACCAGAGTAATCTAAACTTTACATTTAGCCTTCACAACTTACAAAACAACACTATTTCAACAGTCTTTCAGAGAAATCCTGGTCCCTCTCCTCATAATCCGATACAAGCAGGTCATAAAAAGCTCTAATGTCGTATCCTCCATCATCTCCAGTCAACCTGATGTTCCTAAAGGTTTGCCATTAACCGTCCAGAACATCTCCGTCTGCTGCCGAGTCACAGAATTAATCGCAATTAGGCCACATTGACAGCCAGACCACTACACGAGCCCCAAAAACTGCCATTGTCTGTGCCAGAAACAAATCACTGGACCAAAACAATACAGATTAGAAAATGACACCGGCTAAGTACAACAAGAGGCTTTAAATTACGGCCAGCTGTATTGAGAGAAGCTCGTTTCTTTGAAAGGAATTACATGTGTTAAATTACTGCAGCAGGTACGGTTCAGTGTGTCTGGTTAACTGACAGGAAAGGGCAGCTTCTTGACTTGAGGATCATGAGTAGTACATCTGTTGTCAGAGCTGCTTTCACCTCACTGACTCATGCGTGCAGGCTGTGCCGCCCTCTTCCTTCACTGACAGGATGAGCCGTATATGTGGTCATCATTATTTAAACTACTGCAACAGTGCGGCTGGGTTTATAGACCTAAAAAACGGATGTTATCATGTATGTCTTAATGTGCAATAATCTGGGGGGAAGCTTCTCTGTCAGTTGTTAAACCTGTAATGTCACTTTATAGGCAAAATATAATGGATCAGAAACCAATAAAATGGCTTCATGGTCAAATTTTGTCAATTTTTTCATTTTTAAAAACCGTGTTTAAGTGCATACATGGATTAAAGTAGCACTTAAGGTCGTTTGTGAGTTGATGCATAAATTCAAGAGAGATGGGGCAAAGACTAGAGGGGCAGTAAGTGGGAATTGTAGAATCCGCAGATGCAGAACCACTGTGGGTCAGTCATCCTTTTCAGTGAAAGGTTCACATCTATGGAACGCCACACCTGTTGATTCAAAGTTACAATCCGAACTTCTAGTTCTTTCTGTGTAGCTGAAAGAATGGTTGAAATATTTAACACAATGCGAACATTAAGTGCTATTCTTTCAGTTTGGTCAGGTTTCCATTTCTCTTCAGTATGCTGATTGACTTACATTTTATGTTTGTGACTCTGTATATACTGTACATGTTCGATGTATTGCTTTTATTTGATGATTTTTTAAAATCCTAACAAGAGACGTGGGCTGTAAATTAACTTCATGCTTTATTCCGTATGTAAGCAGCATTAGTTGTCTTTGTATAACAATGAGTACATTTACATGGACAGCGATAATCCATTTTTGATACAATTAAGACAATACTCTGATTAAGAGTTCACCATGTAAACAGATGATTTTAGGATGTGGAGTTCACCTATATAGAATTTACACCCGATTTTGCAACTGGATAGTCTATACACGCACAGCTGTTTGACACTATTCTCTGCACCTACCGAGTCAGTGAAGGACCACAGTCACCTGCATCACAAAATGCAGAGTTTTTTCCCACCCCATACGGTGTGCAGTATCAAATTTCATTAACACAACACTCTTCCAGCAATTCATACTTGCATTCAATATCTTGTTTGTCATGGATATTGTGTTGACGCAATAACGTTAATCCAGTTAGAGTATGTGCTATAACATGTAAAACTGGATCATGAAAGGAACATTCAAAAAGCAACTCATATAAACAAATTATTCATTTTATTGTCTCATTCAGATTAACCTATTAAGGCCCAGGGTGTTTTTTACAGGCATATTTTTTTATTTCTAATAAGCCCTAAAAGCGATGCGAACCTAATTAGAATAAAACCCAAGTATCATCTTTTAATATGATATACTTTTAGAGAAAAAGTATGTCCATATATGTGGAATCGTGGTCCAAATTTACATAAAACACTTTTTGCTGACTGGTTTTTAATGCATATATAACACATAAAAGTTATTTTGAACTTGCTTTGCCTATAAAGGAGTAAAAACTATTTTTTTTCAACATTTTAAACAGTTAAAAATAGTGTTTTGGGACATATTCTGCAAAACGGTTGCAGGACAACACTGAATGTTTTATATTTTGTTACAGACATACAAAGTATTTCCATTAGCCACTTAAGAGCTAAATTGTGCTGTCCAAGTATGTGGCCCCTAAGCCCTAGGAGTTGAGGGCAAATAATTTGATTACTGATCCATGTGAATGTAGCTAATGTCAAGTGTATTGTCCCTAAAATAATTTTCTTTCGAAATTTTAGAATGGTGATTTTACATATCTGATTGGATTAAGTTTTGTGGGTAAGATTAATTTAAATTAGAAAAAACAACCTGTACGGTTATACACCTAAATGAAACTTCAAGTATCTGTACATCTTAACTAATTTGCATTAGTATACTTTGACAGACAACATTTCATAAACATACAAACAAGTTTTACATAGCCATTGGCTAACACTTAGCAAAAACTATTTGTATAATTAACAAATACAATATTTATTAAGACCATTATATATATAACATAAATGCATATTATATGCATATATGTATATGGATAGATTGATATATGTATATGGATGGATGTATAGTGAGGGAAATAAGTAAAAAAAAATAAAAAGTTGACATGAAACTGAACTGTATTTTGGAAAAACCCAAAGATATTTTAAAAAAAATTCTAAAAAATTAGTTATGTAATAACAATGGAATGACATAAGGAGAAAGTACTGAAATACTGAAACGTATTTAATACTTTATATAAAAGGCTTTTTTGCTGATGGCAGTTTAAAGACACCTCTCATGCAGAGAGGGAAGTCACATGCATTGCTCAGGTGTCACTTGTATATTGCATTTTTATTCTTCCAAATTAATAAATCATATTTTAAATGTCTAAATACTATGCATACTATGTATTATATGCATATAGCTAACGTAAGTAATTGTGTTATACATTATTTTATAATTATGGATTGCACACATGCATATACTTTAGGCATGGGCCGGTATAAGATTCTGAGAGTATGATAATCTTGGATAAAAAATATCACGGTTTCACAGTATTGTGACTACTGCTCCAAAATAAGTTCTTTTTAAATGTCTGGGTCTAAAACAAAAACTTTTTTCCTTTTTGAACACAATATTTTTGATTTTAAGAAACATTTCTAATATTTAAAAAAAAAAAAAAAAAAAACAGTATATAAAAAAATATGGAACTGTATTGCAGAAAATTTTGACATTTTTAAAACCTTGACTTTTCCAAACTGCGGTATACCTTGAAAAAGGTCATCGTCCCATGTCTAATTTATATATATATATATATATATATAGTTTAGTTTTTTTTAGTAATGTAATTATTGCTATTTTATAGTAAACTAGCTCATTATGTTCCAGCATATAGTGCACATGCTCCTGACATATTCAGCTGTGGCTCTCATCTGGGATTTTAGTCAATCTCTAATATCAGTTCTACTCCCCATCTCTGCTGTTTCTCAGATTAAAAATGGCAAACAGCCCAGAAAAACAAAACAAAAAGTTCCAGAGCTTTAAATATGTCATTGAGTTCATAATTCAGATTTACCAAAGCTCTCGGGGTCTTCCTCCCACATGGTAAGCTCTTCCTCAGTCAGCAGGAAGTATTTGGACACCAGTCTCCTGCCAATCTCCGTCAGCGTTTGGTGTGTGAAGAATGCGGTCTTGATTCTGTGCGCCTCCAGGCTCTCCGGCTTACTGTCTGGAACGCATATTGCAACATCACTTCAGTATACAATTATGCATACAGCAATACTCGGGATATTAGATCATTCATTAAAACGTCTGATGTGATCCCTGCAGTCCATTAATAAGGTAATAAAACATGGAAACCAAAGATGTTTTTACATCAGTGTACTTCAATCTCTATCCAGGGAACCGAAGAGCCAGATATTATTACGAAGCATCTCATCGATTTTGCTCTTGCCCTCTACCAGCTCTGAAATGTCCTTGATGTGTTTAAAGGCTGTTATCCATTTCCTATTTGAAATAAGCTAGAACTTTTAAATGGAGGCTGGCTATGCCAAAGTCGTTACGCAGGCTGCTGATGGGCTTCCTACCTTCAATGTTCTTGGCAGGTTTGTAGGCATCGTTTTTAACGATCATCTTGATGAGGTTCATGCACTGTACAATAAAACGCTCGAAAACAACTCCCTCGCCAGCCTCGGTGAACACATAGCTGACGGCAAACTCCAGCGAGCGCTGAATGAGCGGGATGAAAGGGCACGGGTGATATTCCAGGAAATCCAGCAACTGGCAGAGAGAATGAAATAGGTGACATTAAATCACAGTTTAGACGTGCAGAATGACCCGCAATGTCTCAGCTATAAGTTCCATGATTGCTTCTTATGCACTTGAAGTGACTGAAGTTTTAGACTTACAACTTTGGTGAACAAAATGATGGTTTTCTCAAGCTTTTCTCTGCAAGGACTGCCTGGTCCAACCTGCCGACCTGCAAAAAATAGAAAATAAATAAGAATAAATAAGCTGAAAATGCACAAATCTTTGTTCAGATTTTGTCATTATTTATGCACTTTTAATGACAAAAAGTGGTCCATGTCTAGAAACTTGATCTGGAATGACAGGTCTGCAATATGCCATCAAATTTTATATTTAGGATGTAAAAAAGATTCAAATAAAGTAAAGAAAATGAAGACGTAGTCACAGGGGAAAACTGAACTAGTGCATGGCCTGGAGAATGAAAATTAAGATTTTTCAGTATCCTTTTTCAAATGAAGGAATATGAGGAGTTATAAGTACTGATTGATATCACCATCAAATTCAAAACATATACTCAGGAGATGTGTGGCTTTTAAACCTATTACTTTTCTGTATTACTCCAGGACTAATTGTATCAGTTTATGAAATAATAAAATGTTTAGTGCGGTGCTTTTTTTTTTTTTTTTTTTTACATTACTTAAGCATAGATAACTTTTTACATTTTGAGCATTATAAACTCTAGATGATGGATAGTAAAGCCCAAAGTGTCTTCTTTCCAAATATACACATTTGAAATATAAATTTTTCCAGTGTCTGTACATGAGAAAACAAATATTAAACAGTACAAATTTTTTTCTCATTACTTCATAATGTATAACTTTTCATATTTTTTTTTAGTATGATACTGTCTAGATGGACCATAGCAAAGCTCAAAGTAGCTTCTTTCCAAAGATACATAAACTGTGAATGTAGATCAAATTATTCAGCAACTGTTTTAGTTTGGGAGGGTCATTTTGGAGAAAGTGCCTCTGATGGTGAGGAAAAGAAGGACACCGATAGAGTCTTGGAAAACTTTTTACTGAAATCTTATTTTCTATGCTATCTTTATCAAATTTAAAATATATACTCATGAGACACTTGGCTTTCAAGGCATATTTTTTCTAGGTAGTTACATAGATGTTTCCTTGTGTTTGTATACTGAAAAACAAATATTGAACACAATATTTCTTTCTCATTACTTAAAAACATTACTATCAAATAATAATAAGCTCAACGTGTCTTCTTTTCAATAATACCTAATTATGTTTGTAGCTCACTGGAGTCAAGAACTGTTACTATTTAAAGTTAGGTAGGTGTAAATCCCCAGAAGGGAGTGTTGGCTGACAGGTTAATAAGGACTATGACAAAAAATGAAGATTTCATTTGGGAAAAAACACTATTCTTAGAATTGTTCAGAAATCTTTTTTTTTTTTTTTTTTTTTTGCAATTAAACTCTCAATTACTAAATTGAATTTACTAAAATTAAATGACTAAAACGCATACCTGTAATTTATCTATATTGTTAACTGTTTTTGCAAATATTCTTCAATGAATCACTCGTTGTATCTTCGATTAAACGAATCATTACATGTACGGTCAAATACTTCAAAGAAACATTTGAAAAAGTTTGCTAACGTTAAACTATTGACTAACTGCAAAATACACTTACATAATTTCCATGTCTGGTACTCTGTGACTTCACACCATGCCATTTTAGAAATAAAAGTCCAATGGTTGAGAATTTGCATCTCTCTGACTGCACATCTGGTATCAATAGGCTTTTAAAATGATTAAAAGCCTCAGTCACAGTATGGAGCCCTGAAAGCACTTTGTGTTCTTATTGCACTTCCGATCTCTGTGAACTATGAGGAAATATCTGGAACTCCAAAATTTGTTACTCAAAAATAAAATATAACAAATTCGTGAAAATTGGATCACACTTTAAAACCTGTCTGAAAGGCGTTTATAAATCAGACTCATCTGAATCTCGAGTACAACTCATTGACTAAAATGATTCGCTCACTGGAGCAGAAGATTATCTGACTGGAAATATATAGACTTCCCGTCTGTTCCTCACACAAAGTCATCTTCAGAAGACTTTAGTGTACACGGTATTAACTTTATGATATTGTTATGGTCATTGGCTTGGCAGCCTCAAACATCATTAGCCTGAGACATAATCAGCAACATTTGTTTAATGGAAAAGGAAGCCAAAATAAAAGCTTCTAATTTTTTTTGTTTAGATTTGAAACAACATCGTTTCATATCGTATCATATAGTATATCATACCATATAATATCTTTTTATATGTAATATTAATATTCCAATAATAATTATTATAATATTCTTTTTTTCATGGCAAAAGCATTGTTCATTAAAGGCAAATAAAACAAATGCAATAAAAACAACAAATAAATAAATAAAAAATATATTAGGTAAGATGTTTAATGTTAAAAAGCCCATATTTTGGGTTTTTGAAAATTCCCCTCCATGTAGTGTATAACACAGCTCTAAGTGAAGAGAAGTATCCAGCTAAGGCTTAAATCTGTAAGAGTACAGTGTTTAAAATGGTTGATTCATCTATAAAAGAGTCGACTCACAGTGCTTCAAACGAGTCGCCTTGATACCGAATCATTAGGTGTTTCGCCATGACGTACGAATGAAACCAAGTTATTCACGTGCACGCGCAAACCCGGGAGATTTCAAACCTGAGGCCCCGCCCTCTGACGCAGAAACCCAGACACACACCCACAAACACAAACACACAAACATGCCGGTCGATTGAAGTCACATTGCAGATGGATATTATCGAGTCTCTATCCAAAGATGAAACCTCAGCATTATAACCAAGCAGTTGGAAACTACTGGAAACTTCTGCAAACTACATGCTACAAAGAACACTTCATCTGCATTTGTTAAAGGAAGGATCAGTAAAGAGTAACTTACTGATGGACGTCAGGATGAGTTTCTTCCTCCATTTCTCAAATGTAAGTACGTGCGATTAAAGTTGTTGCCTCGTTGACTCTAGCTTGCAAATGTATTTAGTTGTGATTTGTTACTTGTAACCGCGTGTACTGTATCAGGTTAACTGGCTATATTCTCTTATCGCGTGCAAAGTCACGTTAAAAACGCGACGCGTGCTGCTTTGATTACGGAGCTCCGTGGACGAGGGTAGTGTGTGTGTGCGTGCGCTGTCGTCCGGAGGTATGTGTGTGTGTTTGTGTGTGTGCGCGCGCGTGTTGTCGCCCGGAGGTGTGTGTGTGTTTTTGTGTGTGTGTGCGCAGACAAGGGCAATGTGTGTGTGTGTGTGTGTGTTTGTGTCTGTGAAAAGAGCAGAGTGAGACAAGCTATGAGATCTCCTCGACAGTTTTTGGAGTTTTGCCTCAATAAAAAAGTTAGTCATCTGAATTTTCAAGTCCATCGACTGTATTTACATTGACCCACTGGCAGCTAAACCACACCTACACTATCGAGCGTGTACGCACTGTGATTACTTTTATATTGCTGATTAGCTATTGGGCATTTCACTCTCTGACCAATCGCGACAGACTGTCATTGGGTCAATCAGCGCAGATTAGCTTCGCGCTAAGGAGCGGTTTGGGAACAAATGAATCACTGGACGATTCATACAGGAGTCGCTGGAATAATTAGGTAAAAATAAATGCAGATTATAAGACCATGAAAGTGTTTTTTGACCTTGCATGCATATTAGACTTTTGTTGGAGACCCTTACAACCAAGATATGACCCTATTTCATGTATAATATGGGCTCTTTAATATATGATGACAGTCTAAAACTTTAAGTGAGTTTACCTTATAAAAAACTTCTGCAGTCATTAAAAGTGGAACAATTCCATAAAATATGTTCAGCAGTAAGAGAAATTGTGTAAAACGAACACAGAGTGTGGTTTTCACCTTTAAAAAAAAATAGCAGTCAGCCTTCTATGTCCAATAGGGCTGCACAATATATCGTTTCAGGATCGATATCGCAATGTGCTAATCTGCAATAGTCACTGCACAGAATTTACAATGTCAGGTTGGGACTATAATTAACCAGAAAACACAGTTCAGAGTAGGGCTGGGCGATAATTCATAATCAAAGCTGCAAATCATCCAGTCCGCGTGGTTCGGCTTATTAATAATTTTTTTTTTTTTGCATACAGACATTGGTTTTTCACTGTGCTGACGGTTTATGTGCATATTAGGTGTTCTGTTAGTGCAAGTAAACTTCTTTTTGCAGTATTTGCACACAGTTTGAGTTTGTCTTGCGCACTTCACTGTTGTCATTTTACTTTGCCACCCCACATCTTGCTCGCTGCTGTGCAGGTAAAGCGAGCTTGCATCTGTAAACACAGCGCCCCCTTTGTTCAAAACATGCATCGCGATTCATTCAATATTTCAGTCACATATGTGAATCGATTTTCAACCGACTCACGATGAAGTGTCACATCACTAATTGGTATTAATAAGAATTATTATAACAAATAAACAGTTCATTTGCAAAAACAGATGGCTGCCGTTTTGAGAAGATTAAGCATTATTTAATAATCTGTTTGAAATTTTAGGATGCATTTCATAAAATGTGTTATTTGTCCGTATATTCCACTACTCATTTAACATGTTGATAACAAGTCTTTGAGGGAGGAATTTCACGCAAGAGAGTAAATGATCATTTCAATAATGGACTGTGTCTTTAAACGCATTTCATACATGGCGTTAATCTCTTGCCAAAAATGACAAAACCAAAAAAGGCAGCTCTTCCCAGCAGCCAAACGGCAAAAGACTAATCCGTATCCTTACAAGTCAACACTCAGGACAGCGTGATACAGTGTGATAGAGCAGGGTAACCTTTCAAGGGGATTGGGCATCAATTTCTTAGTGCAGACAGAGAAAAAGAAATGAATAGAACCCAAAAAGCCTGGATTATTTGGGGGACCTTATCTGGCCCAGAGTAGATATTTCACATTCTGTTTGCTCATACGCTAAGTCTTCTCATCCACGCTGAAATACCAACAGGCCGAATGGAGGCTGACCTGCGGCCCAGCCAGGAGAACATATTGCCTGTGATATCACCAGCCGATAACAGCTCGCTTCTGTCTCATCTGATGAAATATAACTCATGAGCCTAGGAAAAGCAGGGCGCAGTGTCTACAGGTGAACGCATGCAGATATGGCATTATTGTCTTTGGCTTCAGCAGAAATTTAGTTGGAGTCTTTGAAGTGGTGATCTTTCAAAAATAAATTAGTTCGGCCTTTGACTATGCACTCTATACTCAAGCAATAAAGAACCGCAGTCTGTCAGAATTAACCTTGTGATCTCAATCAGACATATCTAAAAGTTCTTTTCCTTTTTACTTATACTATTTTTTTGGATTAAGCTGGAGAAAAGATAATATTGAAGTATAATGAACCTGTAACATTTCCCGTTATGAATTTGGTGATAATAAAAAAACTCGTAGATGGGTCAATGGCTTAAATTGACATTCAAAAATGAACAGAAAATCTGTTGGAATTTTTTTCACACTCTCTCTCAGAACCATATAACTGATCTTTGTCACCTGGAAACGTGGCTGTTCACTCTGGATAAGCTGAGGATTAAAAACTCTAAGCAAAATCAAATGTTCATTTCTCCACAATGGTGGTGCCACTAAATCCAATACGACAGGACTTTATTTCCCAATTGGGAATCAAATTTAATTGGAAAAGCGTCTCTGAGTACATTGTGGGGGGAAAGTATTTTAAAAGGTGTTCTTGGTTATTTGTCCTCATTAAAAAGTTTTACAAAAAGAAATGAGCAGTACTGGAGAAAAGAATTGAATCCTGTATCCGCATGAGAGATGTCATGTAAAAAAAAAAAAAAAACTTTTTATTTCTTCTTTTGTGAAGTCGCCTTTCTCATGAGGGCAGATATCACATGACGGCAAATACTACTTGTTTTATCTCCAAAACCGCCTGTTATTCAACACTTTCACTGAGAGAATGAATTAATAATGGCTGACTGCAAACAGTACTTTTATAAACTAAAATGTTGTTTTGAATTAAATAAATAAGAATTAATTAAAATAAGTAGTTAACAGTCATATTATTTACATGTTGTTGTTTTTTGTTGCATGGATTACTTGTTTTGTCCCCATTTTTGAATCTCTTCAGATAAATACAAGCAACATATTAAATGCAGGTGCTTTTATGTCAAAAGATGAACACTTGCATCATGTTTACATGTAACAAAAATGTTCATTTATTGATGTTGAAGGCTCATTTTACCTAGTTATCTAGGTAAACAGATGAGTTTTAACATTTTTAAAACCATTCAGTAGATCTCCATGTTTGGCGGGAGCACATTTAGCTTAGCATAAATCATAGTTTCAGATTTGACCATTAGCTTAAAAAAAGATAATTTTACTAAATTAAGCTGGCGTCTTCTGTAGATACATAATGTACTAAACCGCCTGTTATTCAACACTTTCACTGAATGCATTAACTATGGCTGTGTCAAGTGACCTCTTTCGAAAACATGAAATAAATATATTTTGAATTAAGTGTATATACACTAGGCCTGCAAAATATATTGTTTCAGCATTGATATAAAAATTTCCAAGTCCACAATACTCACATCGCAGGGATCTGCAATGTAGTCAGGATTATGGTTGACCAGACATTACAGTTAACAACATATTGGAGTAATTTCATATTTTAACTTTAGAATGAAAGTTTTAAACTTGCATGTGTTTTAAAGACCTGTCTATGAGAATTTGAAGCAAATTAAAGAAATTCGAGCACAATAAATGAAACGTTTGTAGCTCAAAGATTAATTCTACATTACTTACTTAAATTAAACAATACATTGTTATTCTTATTCTTATTATATTCTTATTCTTATTATTATTTAATTTCTGCTTCTGAATACTGGTTGAGTCACCAGAAAATCATAAATCATTGTTTATTTGCCTCTTTTCTCTGATGTATTTTACTTTGCATGTCATTTTTTATGATTTTATGCAGATACGCTCTCATACAGAATCATCCCAACAATCTAAAACTAAGAATTCTTTACAAGCTATTCAAGTCATCTGCAGAAATTGCATTTAAATCGCAATATATAATCGCAGTGAATAAAAATATTGCAATCTCAGTTTTTTCCCAATATTATGCAGCCCTAATATACACATTACTTTGAAAACTAAAAATTAATTAAATCCACTACAAATTTCTGTTTATGTACTGAATTTAAATAACTAGTAATGGTCATATTAGTGACATTATTGTTTTTGTTGCATGAATTACTTATATTGTCCTCATTTTTAAGTCTCTTCATATAAAAGCATATGCATTTAATGTTACTTGTATTTATGTCATAAGATGAACACTTACATCATGTTTACATGTAACAAAGTTCATTTATTTATGTAAAGGCTCGTTTAACAAGTTGCCTAGAGTTAAACATTTGAGTTTTAACATTTTTAAAACCATTCAGTCAATCTCCATGTTTAGCAGGAGCACTTTTAGCTTAGCACAAATAATTGTTTCAAATTAGACCATCAGCATCAAAAAAATAAATAAATAAAAAAAAAATTAATGTAAAAAAATGTATGTGTATATAAATATACACATATTAAAACCTAAATGTAAAAAAATAAAAAAATAGAAAAATAAATGTAAAAAAATGTATGTGTATGTATATGCTATGTATACACACACATATACAGTATGTGTGTGTGTGTGTGTGTGTGTGTGTGTGTGTGTGTGTGTGTGTGTGTGTGTGTGTGTGTGTGTGTGTGTGTGTGTGTGTGTGTGTGTATGTATTTATTATATATATATAAGTTGGCGTCTTCTGTAGATACATAATGTACTAAGGCTGCTACTTTCTAGGTTGATATGACTAGGAACTACAGTATACTCTCATTACAGTGTAATAATCAAGAAACTATCCTGCCATACTTAATGCTTTAAGCATTAAATTAATAAAATTATCATAATTTTTTTTTTTATTGAGTATTTTGCTAATGGTCTAATCCGATTACATGATTTATACTAAGCTAAACTAAAAGTGTTTCCTCCAGACCTGAACCAACACTTTTTTTACAGAATAAAATCCCCAAAACTTTGTTACACTATTACAAAAGAAAAAGCATGTAATACTCACAGCATTCGAGAAATTGCTTCAGCCTCTCGAACACAGCGTTGAGGAAGCCCTGGGGAAGCAGACAGAGATAGTAAATGAAACATCGGTATCAGGTGTGGTTAGTGACTCCGAGATCAACATCTAGGTTTTCTTGGGTCATACTGGAGGCAGATTTGGCAGGAAGCCCCAGGCAATCTTAACTCAGCTTGGGGAAGGACAGAATGTTTACGTGCGTGTGCGCGTGTGTGACAAGAGAGATTTAGAGAGTGCCTGCTCTGCCAGGACACAAGCCTAGAATGGTCGTTAAATATATGGAACCGGTTTGATCAACACAGGGCACAAGTATCATTTTGCTGGCAGATGGAAATTTCTGCACCACAAACATTAAATTACAGCAGTAAATTTGCTTTTAACACTAAAACTTTGCGCACCATAAATAACAGAATAATTGACTGTCATTTCAGCAGTATAATGAAGTGAAAATGCAAAAGGTGGGTTCTATTTCTTAAGGCCTGAAAAACACTCCACACTTAGCAGAAATTTATGACTAAATTAAAATATTTAATACATATTTTTACCATGATTTGTAGGAGGCGCATGGTAAAATGTCATATAGTGTAACAGCAGTTTATATACCATAACATCTTGTCAGGCATATGTAGAATGAGAGTTATTTAATGACATTAAAAGACTCTACTTAACGATCCCACTGCAGCTACAAAATACTGTCCTTTTAAATCTTTAGACTTTGCCACTATGATTCGAAATGCTAGATTTTGCACCAGTATTTCATATGTATAGAATAAGTATAGTTTCAACAAACAATGGAAGATTATTTCACACTATTTTGATAACATCATCTGTGATGGGCAAAATGGCGCTATAAATAAATGTCATTATTAACGCCGATACTTTTTTCAGTAACGAGAAATCAAATTAAATTATTTTCCCCCTGTTACAATGCCGTTACCATTACTGACAATAAAATGCATGTTACTATAATTGAAAACACTTTAAGCGACTATCTCAGCCATAGGACTTTTCTTTCTCTGGGGTTTGAGTGTGTGTGTTTGGGGCTGGGGTGGGACACATTAACAACCAGTGATGATGATTAGAGTGTCTGTGAATGTGGTGTGAAAATGTGATGATTGGCTAGTAGGTTTTAGTTTTAAAACAGCAATTTAGAACGAAAACGACCCACGTCCACACTAGCGTTTTCCCCAGCGTTTTTGAACAGCTTTCTGTCTACAGCACACCACTGAAAATGCACATCACGTGACCACACATACACACCCTGGCATGCGCTGCAGCGTTTGTGGACGTCTGAGCTCCAAGCAGTCGTTTACCCAGATGAGAGCTGTGCTTGTCGGACTGTTCATTAAGAATCTACCACTGGATCTTATCTCACTATATTTGTTAAACACTATTTAATTCATCTTGTTGTCTATATCTAATGAAATATTCCCCGACTTTGGTCTTTTGAATATATTACTTGTTCTCAGGTAACAGGTTTTGGCTGAGTGCAAAGATAAGTTGATAATTAATGTAACCACGTACATTGCGTTTATTGACTGATTGCTTGCCTTTATTTCCTATAATGTATAAACTTATTGTACGGTAAACTTTTATAACTTTTATATATGAAACACCTCTCAACATCACATGCCACAAAATTAGTGGCTACACAGGTGATAACGTGAGCCCTGCTACCAAAGGAGATGATGCCACAATGTCAAAGCAACTAAAACTTAATTTTTCTCAGCTGCAAACACTTATTACTTATTATAAACAAAATAATTTATTAAATAGTAATAAATTAGATAGGGTTGAGGACATGCTGCTGTTGTCATACTCTTTTAAAGGAACGTGCCTAACACTGTTGCTTGAGAATTTACAGACATCGTACTGACTGATATATAAAATTATAAAAAATAAGTTAGAGATAAAGTACATCTATGAGGTTGTTATCACAGAATAAATCCTGACAGTATTATCAGGAGCCTGGTGCAAAATAAAAGGCAGTTGCATAAAACTGAAGGGCTTTACTTAGCAAAAATAACCATTCTGATGGTTAGATACTTGTACGAAACATAAAAATAGACACAAAACATATAGTTCTGAGCTGTAATTAGAGCTGTGAACCTATACTGGTCTCACGGTTCGGTTACGATTATCATGCCATCGATTTGGTTCAATTCGATATCTCGGTGCATCACGGTGTATTGACGGTGCTTTCCATACATAGTTTTATATTTTCTTCAGAGCAGAATTCTTGTATTAAAATGTATAAATATATTTATATATTATTTGTAATGCAATTTTGTCATTTAATACAAACAGTCAGGTATATAAACTGTACCATTAAATAACACGAGCATTTATAGCATTGATATAAACGAATATAAATATCCAGCTCGCTTTCTGATCCTTGTTTATCAAGTTCTTTTACTCCCCTTTGATTGGTCACACCCTCAACAAAAACGGTTGCGATTGGCTCTTGCGCGCAGCGCTCTACACAAATGAGTAATACTGATAAGCGGCAGGTGGCAGCGGCGCTCACAACTGATCCATGATAGACACGGTGGAGAATACTCTGCAGACACCAGCTCGTGTCTATATCTAGAAGTATCGCTGTGAAAAAGTAGAGAGGAGAGGAAAAGTCACGCCAGCAGGTCAAATGGACCCACAGTGAGTGAGTGAGAGAGAGAAAGAGAGAGAAATTGAGTACTTTCATTCTCTCAATCGCAGTGAAATAGGGGCTTCTGCTGTAAATGTGAAAGAATAATAAAGCAAACACACGCAGTGAAATTGTGAGCAGTTTCTGCATATTTAAGTAGTTGGAGCAATGTAAATACTCACGTTCGCCTCGCTCGCCTAGTAAGCTATGGCGACATAGCGCATATGAGATAAATGACGTCAGTACACAGTAACCGGTTATGATTATTACTGAACCGATATCGAATTGTCCGCGTCAAGATGATTTGAAGTTCTTGGATGAACCAGTGTCAATTAGCGGTTGCTATCTCAGAATAACATATCTTGGAATGTCATGACTTCCCAATCAGAACCTAGTATTTCAGACAGATGTGTAATAAATATAAATAAATGATAAATATAATATGATCTTTACAAGGATTCTATATAATTAAACTTGTTATCGTGTTTTTGATCAAAAACTTAATATTTTTATTAGTAAAATTGAGGCAAATTTTCTGTATAATTATTGATTCAACTTTTTTAACCACAAAAAAAAACAATCTAGCCAAAATTACAAGACTAAAGTTACATTTAAACCATGAAATAACATAAAATGAAAATAAGAAATATATATTTTTTAATTGTACACAGTCATTAATAAGCAGGAGTACATTTTGTGTTCTTTTTGCCTTTCTCTAAATTCCAATCTTTATGCCGCATTCTGGATCAATTTCAAGCATTTATGTTCTTAGAAGTACGAACTTCTCTACTATGTAATAAATTGAAGCAAATTTGCATTTCCAAACATATATACTCAGTGTGATGTGAAATCTCTCTGGTGGCTGAACACCAGTCCACTTCAGGCACTCAACATCATTCAAACGCAGCCTAAAGATGTTCTGGGTTTGATAAGCATGAAGGAACAATGAACTGAGAAACGAGGAGAATTGGAGGGGAAAAAAGGTATTTCATGACAGGGATTGTGTGGCTGAGAGACTCCAGAGAGGCAAGAGAGCTTCAACCCAAGAGGAAGAACACGGTGTTTCGGTTTTTCAGTGGCTGACTGATAGCCGAAGGCAGAAGCTCATTGAAAATATTCTCTTTTTGAGCCGTCTTACCTCCAGAAAGGATCAATAATGGTGGCATCATCATTTTCTTCACCGCGACTAATAAGCTCAAATTCAAAATGTCAAAAGAAGATGCAGCTGGCCTGACAGTTGAACAAATGGACTGCCAGATCAAGGGATGAATAGATGAACTTGGGGAGAGAGAAAAAATTGGGATTTTCTTTAAAGCAGAAGGGGAAGGAGCTGGAATGTCAAATTCATGCTCAATACGGTGTGAATTTATAGTGAATATTTGAAACCATTCAGCTCTGACGTATAAAAACCGTCCCTATATCTTTTATATAGACTGAAAGTGTGTATATTATGAAGCAGTGTCGTCAAACATTCAGTAGTTTGTATCAATACCAGTAAAAAGGTTTATGTTTCTCAATAAAAGTTGCACTACTTTGCAAAATTTGGTAACTTGCAATTATTAGAAGTTGTACTTGATTTAATAAATAATCACATTTTCACATTGTGTTAATTAATGGCTTTCAAATGGCATGATGGTAACTTGATCTGTGTGCCAAATAAATTTACAGTTTAACATGGTGATTTTATCGACATTTTAGTAGTTTTAATCTTTATATTGTATATAAATAATATATTTAAAAATAAATTCTCAACTTAAAAAAAGTACTGGCAGATCATTATGTGGCATTAGTAACAATTTGTATGCACAACCAAAACAATATTTTTTATATCTCCTAAAACATCATTATACATCACTTTGTCAAACACTTAAATATCAAAAATAGGCAGAGTGGAGATCAGTATATGTGCATAATGGGATTTAAAATGCAAAATAAACGGAAAACACACAGGAATCAGAAAACAAGAAATAACGGTTAGACTTTATTTCTTTTATCTAAAGTTTCTGCTTATTAACAGTTATTAAGCTAGTAGTTAAGGTTTTGGTATTGGGTAGGATGTAGAATAAGATCATGCAGAATATGTACTTTAAGCACAAATAAATATATCTTAATATCAGGCAGGTAATAAGTCATTAGTTAATAGTGAGAATTAGTCCTGAAACAAAAGTTTTACCATAATGGTTAAAATATGAAGAGTTTAGATGCAAAACCATCTAAATTCATCGGACCCCGTTTCTTGTAAATGAGCATTTTCTACCAGGCTCCTCTGATTAGGTTTAGAAAGTTTTGTTTTATATGTAATGATAAGGTTATTAGGAAGTAAATAAAATTAATTGGTTTTTAACAAGGTTCTTTGGTATCAAAACCAGTTAAATCTATGAGTGCGTTTTTGCGAAACCATCTAAATACACCTATTGGACAAGACAGTGTAATTAGATGAAAATCAATAAAGATGCAATTAGAAATTTTTTTACCAAGCACTAAACATATTACACAAACCACCTAAAATACATAAATCTGTCAAGTAAGTGGCCGTTCATTCCGCTGTGGTAACCCCTGATAACCCCTGATAAACCAGGGAAAAGCCTGCAAAAAGGGGATGTCTATCTGACAATTTTAGAAGCTGTCATTCATTCATTCTCATCATAAGGTTTTGGTCTTTTGTTTATCCTCATAGCAACCACTTGGGTTAAAAGAACGGCATCTTAACTCTTGTCTTTCGTAAAATGCAGTTGCCATTTAACGTAAAGTAAAAAAAAAAAAAACGTTATAAATGCATGCTACACTTCCGACTGTACAGCGCGTTTCCTTTTTCTTGTAATGCGTTTTCTTTTAATGCATTTTTTAAAATGAGTTTTGAGGTGAGGGATGTTTTCATTTGCCATTCTGACAGTCGGAAAGCCTCAGGCAGTTTATCAAACTACGTCTTTCAAAATCGAAATTGAGAGCGGAATAAAACAGTCTCCTTATGAAAGCTGGCGTATCGGCGCTGCTACATTGAAAACATATGCTTCGATTCGCGCCTTCTGATTGGTTCTCGGGATATAGCGCCTTTTGCTGTTAAAGTCAAGTGGTGTTTAGCGGTAATTTTATATAATAAACAATAACAATATAAACATTCACATAAATAGTTTTATATACACATTTAAAAGCAACAATTTATAGAAATCAAAACATAGAAATCAAAAACATAAAAATATCAGCATGTAGGCTGGGAATATTGTTTAATTAAAACACAGCATCAAAAAATAAATACTATAATAAAATAAAAAGAAACAAACATTTTCCAGAACAAGTGGAAGCCATCAGGATTTATTGCACGTTTCTAATCTGACATATTAGTTTTTTGTTGTTAAATAATGGCACACATACCAGTAAACGAATCTTGTTTCCTTAAAACGCTCTCCGCCATAAATTTAAAATATAAAAGGAAAACGTCTGCAAATGCATATGCAATAACATCAGCTGCAAAATATTATCTAACATGTTTCTTGTTTCACTGCTTGATCTAACTGGGGAGAGCATAGCCCAAAAATGGTCCTTCAGAGCAACAAATTATTATAATTTTTTTACTATACTTTTTCGTAACACATTAAGGTGGTATTATTTATTGCATTTGCTAATATGAGCAACCAAAGTACAGTATTTGTTCATCCTAGTTAACCTTAATTGAAATACAGTTGTACACTGTTAGTTTAAGTCAAGTCACATTAACTAATATTTACAAACCTGAATGTGAATGTTAATAATGCATTAGTAAATGTTGAACTATGAATAATGAATGCTCTACAAGTATTGCTCACAATTAGTTCATGTAAGCAGGGCTGATAGTGGAAAAAATTCCTGAGCCTGAACTTTTTTTCCTTGCTGATGTTTTAATTTAAACGCATTTATTTTATGTATTCGTAGTCATACTTCCGTACGTAATATAGTCATTTGACAGTACATGTCAGTCAAATTTATTGTGGCATGCTTATGTATGCCAGTAATGTCAGTGACACATGCCAGTGTCAGTGATCTTGTGACATGTGCCAGTAGGTGTCAGTATAAGCACGTTATAAGCACATTAATCTTATAAGTCTCTTTGCTTTAATATTTAAAAATCATTAGGCAAATGACACCTGTTATCTTACATGCATATATGTTATGAGTTTTCAACATGCATTTTATTATAACTTTTTAAAGGATATTATTTAAAATACCTTAAAATGAAAAAAAGTAAATAATAAAATAAATGAATGAATTAAAAACATAGAGAAGTCCATATTGTAGGGAACAAAGGAACTGCCAGGATGCAATAATATACAGTACAACAGATAAGTGTAACCCCTCCCATACATAAGCATGCCACAATAAATTTGACTGACATGTACTGTCAAATGACTATATTACGTACGGAAGTATGACTACGAATACATAAAATAAATGCATTTAAATTAAAACATCATGGAGTAGCTCAGCAAATAAACTAACTTGCGACGCGATAAATTAGGTTAAAAGTCGCGTAATGATTAAATATGGTTTTGCTTGTGTTAATTAATGTCATAAGCTTCACCGGGTGTCGATGTCACTGCAGTGACATGCAGCGCGACACTCTGAGTGACACAGGTCACTACACATGCCACTAGCGAGTGACACATGACAGTGGAAAACCGGACGTGCCACCGGAAGTGTCACTACACTCAGTGGCATGTGCCAGTGTCATCTGTACGTCAGATGTCGTGTCACTCCATGTTAAAACTGCTACTGTGAATCCGCGTTCAAGCGCACACAATAAGCTAAAACTCGCCCCAAGCACCGGCAAAAACAAATAACAATGAATGTGTCGAGGAAAGAGTAAAGACATATCTTAATTATTTATTAATAAACTTATTCTGAGTCAGTGTCGCAGATCCTGACTGGCAACCTTCTTTTGGACTCGCCTTTACAGTGAAATTCATCTTTACGGATTACATGAAGGAGTTTTTTTGTTTTCGATTTGTTTTATTTCGTTAAGTAATAATTTAAAGCTTTCTATAAATATTTATTATGTCTGTGCGGCATATACATTTTGCTTTATTTTGTTAAGCGCTCCTGTTCAAAAAACAGACGACAGAAAGCGCATAATTTTGGTTTTCTTTATTTTATAAAAACGCTGTAACGTTTTTTGATGTATTACTCGTACTTTGAGAGCAAAAATGACGGATAACTTTAAATTGCTCCCACTGAAAAAATGCAAGTGATTGCTCTGGCGCCTCGATGTCCTGCAAGCTTTTTATAAGCAAACTATGCGCCTAATAGCACACATTCTTTAACGTTTAAGCTACCATTGTTTTATACTTGAACTGTTTTATATCTTTTATTTTAGGCAAGTCGTGATGATCTGAGAAGGCAAACTGATCAAACAGACAATGATGGTCTTCCGCTGGACGCTGTTCGTTAAAAAAAACAAAAAAAAACTTATTTTTAACGAATAAAAAAATGCTCCAAACGTTTTAAATAAGCTGAATAAAAACGAAACTAAATATAAACACTTTGCCATTAGGCTACATACAAAACTGAACTATGTCATAGCTGAAACACTAAGTTGTTTAAGGAGAAGGGGGAAATATATTTTTGTCCCGTCTATTGCTTCACCGTTATTTCGAGAATAAACCCAGCGTAAATATGCAGATGTCATTCCCAAAACATATCAGCGTATATGTGCCGAAAACGAAAGTTTCATACAAATTCCGAATGGATTATAGCCTGGAAAGTGCACAGCACGCTCCTCTTATTATCACTAAAAAGCGTCACTAATCATAGTTCATAGAGATCTCACAAAGATCCGTTATAATTTATAAAGCTCTCTAAATTACACAATTAATCTTTTATTTACATGGCGTCTACACTCAAAAGATGATTCACGAGCACACAAAATGACACTTAATAAAAACCAATCCGGTGCTTTCAGCAGTGAGTGAATTCTGTGAATCTAGAGAAATGACAGATCAATATCCGTGAACCTGATTTTTTTTTTCCCCGCAGCCACAGTACGCCGGAAATCCGGCGTGGTGCCGGAACGCTATCACCCCTGTGTAAGTAAATACATTAACTAACATTAACTAATGAAACATTTTAAAGTGTGACAGTTTTTTTAATAAAACCACCATATTTTCAGACAAAAAAAAATAATACAGCGCATCAAGTCTTTCACTCATGTTCTTTAGCACCGAGAGCACTACAAAAGTTTGTTTAAACTCATTAAGGTTTAGAAAGGATGGCATCAATGTAATGTGAAAATGATGTCTGATAAGCAAACTCCCACAGATGCATTAAGAGATGAAGGCACCATATGGGCTTCCTGCAGAGTCTGGCTGCACTTCAGCATGTGCTGCGTGCCAGCAAACCCTCCTCCATTCGGATTACACTGTGACAAAACTCTCGTTTAACCCATTTAAATACAGCAAAATGAGCAAATACATCATTATTATTTTGCTTGTCAAAGAAAAGGCAGAAACTGTTGTGTTTAAAGGAGAGACATTCCAGTATTTCACGCACAACTACCTCAGGATATAGATGTAATGCATTAAATATTCGCACTGACCTGTTTTTTTTCCCCAACCCCCATTTTCCACTTGAGAATGAGCATCTCATTTACTTGCGATGATTTATTTTTAATGTCAAAACTCCAACATCATAACCTCAAGGTTGATTTTACTTGCAAACACAACTGCTGTTTCAAAGTTTTTCTTCTCTTTCCTTAGAACTAATTTAATGGATGAAACGGAGCAAAAAATCAGTTTGACCAGCTGTTTTAAAAAGTTAACATCAGCCCTGACTTTAAGTTCACATTTGATTAAGCAGGAAGTAAACATCAGAATATTTTCTTTAAGTTGCAGGGTTACAAAACAACTCCTTGCATAATCTGCAGAGAGCACAACAGAAATGAGTTGACCTAAATCTAATTAACATCCTATTATCGGGGCTTCTTTATACTTGACTGTCTTGTTTTGTTATTTGATGTGATTTATGATACATCTTCATTCGTTGTTTGGATTATTTAAGCACTCACCATGACTTCCATGTTGTTTTGTGGATCAACGAAGCCATGGACAGTAAGCTTTCGAAGAACTATGGAACAAAAATTAGTACAGAAAAATGAGACCTTCAACTACTTACACCACTTACATCAAAAACACTTCATATCACAAAGAAAAATTACATTACCATTTCTATATAATTTTTAGGTATTTTTAAACACTGAATAAAAATAAAACTAGTGAGGTTTTAGGGAAAAAAGGAAAAAGTTACAATTTAACCACACATGCTTTTTGCTATTACACAGTAATTACATACAAATGATACAATAATGAAGTATAAATAACACAATTGTTTCACTTTTAATGTAAATGAAAGGTTGTGTGCAAAAATCATAAACAATACACTACCTCACAAAAGTCTTTTGGCCTATCCAAGTTTTAGGAACAACAAATAATAACTTGACTTGTAGTTGATCATTTGGGATCAGAAGTGGCTTAATTGAAATGCAAAGGCCTCTAGATTATGATTATTATTTTTCAAATAACTTATTAATAAAATCATCTGGAATGGCAAAGAAAGCATTCTTGCAGGACTCCAGAGTTCATCAAGATTATTTGGATTCATCCTCATGCCTTCTTCTTCATCTTACCCCAGACATGCTCAATAATGTTGATCTTTGGTGACTGGGCTGGCCAATCCTGGAGCACTTTGACCTTTTTTGCTTTCAGGAAATTTTGGTGCATTTCCAATGAATTGTACAGTAAGGTACAGTTCAGTACGCTGTTATGGCCTTTCCACTGTCAAAAGGCGCATCGACGCTATTGGTTTAGAATGAAAACAAAAAACTCACCATGTTTAAAATAAACACAAAGCCGAGAAATTACAGCGGAATTGTATATACATATAATAACGAGCCATGGTCAATATGGGCTCAAACAAACCTTGTCGTCGTCTTTATGAACAGCCACAAAGCCATGGAGTAGAGGAGAATCTACCCTGTGCCTCGTAGTTTTTTACGAGGCAGTCTGAAGTGCACACGGTTTTGCTTTCTTCCTTGTGCTCCTTTGTTTTTTCGCGTTTCACCCTTGCGTTTGTCAGTTTCTGATAGGATCGGGTTTCAAAAGCACGTCAATAGTCAAGCACACGTTATTATCATCAGCTCAGGAAGTTTGTTATTTCAAAAAACAAAGGAGAAGCTGGAAAAAAGGAGCACATTATTTTTCAGCAAACGTGAATAAACTGCCATGTATAACTATTATTTTCACCTTTTGGACTAATATGAACTATGAAATTACTCTCTAACAGAGGCTACACGTGCTGCTGAAGATTACAGAGACAGATGAGAGGTTTTCACTGACTGAAGGCTATATTTTGTGTTGTTTTTGAACCTAAATAAGGACTGAATGTATGCTGTGTGAAGTTCTTCTGTAGTTGGTAACATATCGAAGACTGATAGGCGCTGTATATGTTCATATATGTTGCATTTATTTTTTTATTTAGTATAATTACAGACGTTAAAGTAGGCTATTTCGCACTGTCATTGATCTGCAGTTATAATCAACTCATGTTCATAGAAAAGTTAGTAATAAACATTTATACAGAAGTATTTGTGTGTAAAGTGTCTGTTTTGTAAGAAGAGCTTCTTATATGACATGTGAGCGACCCGAACAGCTTTATTATGACATATACTTGAGTGAGAATCATGGGACTGAAACTCTCTGTCGTACACCACGCCCACCAAAAGGGAACCCTTGGTAGTGGAAACGCAGCCTGATAAAGGTGAGATCAAAAATGAGCCATTTGATGTGGAGGCTAAAGTATGAGAAGGAACGCAATCCTGCTAAAGAATTTGCCCTCTCTACCACAAATGTCTTGAAATCTCAGGCTGTAGATGTTGCTATCCACTCTGCAGATCTCTTGCACGCCCCCATATTAAATGCAACCCCAAACCATGATTTTTCCTTCACCAAACTTGACAGATTTCTGTCAGAATCTTGGAACTATGCAGGTTCCAATAGGATTTCTGCAGTATTTGTGATGAACGAGATGCAGTTCAACAGATGATTCAAATCTGCCTTCTGCCATTTTTCCAAATGATCAACTAGAAGTTATTATTTGTTGCTCTTACAACTGGGATTGACGACAAGACTTATCAGATAGTGTATAGTATGTTCTAATTTCTATTAATTTCCATGTCCAAGCACACGAGCAAAAACAAGCCAAAAGCTCCTTTAATACTTAAAAAATGGTTGTGGTAATTTGTTTAATATTTATTTTTTTCTATTTTCTAACTTTTTAGTTAAAAGTATAAAAACTAAATTTGTAATAAATGATTGTAAACAAAAATTGAACCGTGAAAAAAATCTGAAATTACAAGCATTATAAAAAGCATACAAATTTAATATTCAGGCATGTAATAAACATTCAAAATAAATATTTAAAAATAAAATATGTAATTTAATAAAGTAATTAAGACTTCATGAATTTTTAATATTTATAACAATAACTATCAAATAATTTACATTTAAACATTTTAATATGTTTAAAACATTTTGGATCCATTTAATAAACATGCTTACACTTTTCAACCACATTCTGCTTTTGAACATAGTTTATTTTTTACCAATTGCTTGTATTACACACTCACACATGAATCTGTTTCACAAACAGTTCAGTAATTAAAATCAGCAGCACAGTTTACACTTTAGAAGCCTGAACTCTCTCATTCTGTCGAGGGTTTACAGCTACTAAAGTCAGCGACTGCTTCACTGCATTAACTCCAGCAGACTCTGTGCTTTTATGCAGCGCTGCTTAAGTCTGTAATCTGCAGGCGGAGGCTGAGAGAAGCAGCAGTGAGTGTCTTAGAACTGGCCATATATGTGTGTGTGTGTGTGAGTGTGTGTGTGTGTTTGTGTGTACCTTTCAGAGAGAGCAGCGTTCGCTCTAGAGAGCTGAGAGCAGTCTGTTGGTCTCCAGAGTAGATCTGCTGTAGAAATGAGTCTGTGTGATGATTCCACAGAGAGCAAGCGAAGCTGTAGATGCTTGAAGCCAACTAAAAAAAATAAGAGACACAACAAAAACTTTAAATTGGCTCTTGGTGACCCTTTCTAACATAGATATGATTGTCTTTAAATATTTAACAATAGTCCAGTAGAGCAGGGGTTGTCAAACTTTTCAGCCCACGACCCCTAAAATAACAACACCAATGACTCATGACCCCCTCTATGCTCGGAGGTGGCTATAAGCTTACAAATATTGCACACAATGGTGCACACACACTATTAGAACCTATATAAACAAGCTTATTAACAACAAAATAGTGCAACAGTCTTTTTTATAATCATTATTCATTTGTTTAATTGAATATTATTCTCACTTAATGAGAATGGTGAGCACAATGTTTACAGCACAAGACTATTCTTGGTTTAATTTTGGAGACTTGGAGATCTTGGAGATTTACGGTAACATTGTACCGTAAAATCAATCTGCTGCAACTAATGCTATTGCTAAGATGTTAATCTAGCATAACACCAGGGGTCACAATCCAATGGAAAAAAAATTAATAAAAATGAAAGGATGATGACTTTTTTGGCATGTTTTTTTTTTAAATGTAACTATTAAAAATTAACTATATATTAACAAGAAGTTAATTTTTTTTTTATATTCAGCAAATTATGGATAAAATATGATAGTTTTAATTATTTAATAAAATTGATGAGCTTTTTGGAAATCAACAAGCGCCCCTTTCTTTTTTTTAAAGGCTGTTGAAATAAAAGAAATCAACTTTTTCTCTTACGTTTATGTTATTTAAGAGCCATGTGCACCCACTGACAGGTAAAAGCTGATCTGTCTCTCTATCAAGTTCAGCTTGCTTTATTGGCATGACATTTTGTACAGTAAAGCCAAAGCATTTTAGATATGTATGATGTAATATATTAATATCACCAAATTAATAAAATAATCAACAAATGAGAAATATAAGACAGTAAAAAGGAATAAAAACAGTGCTAAAATTATAATTACAAAAATAAAAAGGGTTGACTATCTAAATAAGGGAAATTAGTTGATTAACCATTTCTAATGGTGTATATTTTGTAGCCAGTAAATGTAATTATCCTCTCAGAGTACTATTTAATAATTTATCTATTTAATAATTCTCTCGTGCAGTCAACTGTGAGGCCAAGTGAAAGCAGACTTAATAAATAAAAAGGTAAAGGCAAGATAAAATGCATATGATTAACGACCACTTAAGAAAGCGAAAGCAATGTTGAATCCCAGACATTTTAGGATATTTAGAAACACCGACCGGACACACTTTTTAAGTCCCCAAAAGGCCTATCTCTGTGGTCTACAGGGTCCTGCTCATGTCTGCAGAGCACGCGAGTCTGTGGGAGTGTTGACAAGACTCAACCAGCAGTACAAAACGTGTGGGGTAAGAGAAGATTTTCCACCGGTTAATCGATGGCAAATGATTACCAAATATACTTGAGCAGTCGTTAATATACCTGGATGGCCCGCTGAAGTCAAGTCTATGTGTGGGAAGCACACAATATTTACAGTTAAAGTCAGAATTATTAGCCCCCCTGTTTATTTTTTCTAAAACTTCTGTTTAAAGGAGAGATTTCTTCAACACATTTCTAAATATAATAGTTTTAATAACTCATCTCTAATAACAGATTTATTTTATCTTTGCCATGATGACAGTAAACAATATTTTACTAGATATTTTTCAAGACACTTCTTTATAGCTTATAGTGACATTTAAAGGCTTAACTAGGTTAATTATGTTAACAAGGCAGGTTAGGGTAATGAGGCAAGTTATTGTATAACGATGGTTTGTTCTGAAGTCTATCAAAAAAATATAGAGCTTAAAGGGGATAATAATTTTGTCCCTAAAATGCTGTTTAAAAAAATAAAAACTGCTTTTATTCTAGCCGAAATAAAACAAATAAGACTTTCTCCAGAAGAAAAAAATATTATTAGACATACTGTGAAAATTTCCTTGATCTGTTAAACATAATTTCAGAAATATTTAAAATAATAAATAAACATTTGAAGGGGGACATTTGAATCATTCTGACTTCAACTGCATATATTACTATTTAACTTTTTAATAAATACTTTATCTACTTTAAGTTAAAAGTAACTGTATGTGTAACAAAGCTAAAACACTTTTTTTTCAATTCAACCTTTATTTAACTTTACAAATAACTGCTTTCAAGCTAATTATTTTATTATTATGTTTATTAAAATTAAATTTATTTTCAGACACATTTCAAAAATATTTAAAATCCAAAATGTACTTTTAATTCTAGTAATTATTTTAATGAATTAAATATGGTACATTTGGTCATCGTTTCCTATGGGCTGTTCATTCATTCATGATTTTATCTGGCAGATTTCCTTAAACTCTTAATTGGTTGAGTAAATTTGGATTGAATGCAAGTTAATTCTACTTTGGTGCATCAAAGACATGCAAGCCCAGTTCTCAAATGTGTGGTAAATGCATGACAAAAAAGCATCAGGATTGACCAAAATTGATAGAGAAATTCAATTTTTTTGTTCACTGTCATACATCAGCATCTATTTTAAATCTAGATGATGCTGCATCAGCTTTTTTGTGATATCTGATGTAATTTCATTGCCTGGAGGCAGAAACTCAATGACCTGCAATGACTGCTGAGAACACGACTTGAGTTGCAGACAAGCTAAATGCAGAGATAATACTTTTTTTCTTTACTGCAGAGTTATTATTTTAGCGAATACTTGGAAAAACTGTCTGAAAGAGCACTAGATGTTCGTTTAGGTAATAGACTTGAAAGAAAAATAAAGTAAAGATATTACAATACAAGAAGGTAAGTGACACTGTGGTGATCAATATTTCCTCTGAAAAATTGCTGGATTGCAACAAACTTAATTTAGATGGATAATTATTAAAAATGTTCACACTATACGAGTTTAAATATCACACTCAGCAAAGCTGCATTTAATTGCAGTAATATACAGGGATGAAATTTTTAGGTTAAAATAAATAAAAGAAAATGAAAAAAGAAAAAAAATAATATAAAATACATTAAAATAAAAAATAATATAATATAATATAATATAAAAGAAAAAGATTTTATATAAAAATAAAATAAAAATATAATATAAAATACAATAAAATATAAAATAATATAACATAAAAAAAAATAATAAATAAATTATTATTATTATTATTATTATTATTATAGTCAACCCAATTCACCTGTACCACATGTCTTTGGACTGTGGGAGAAACCGGGGCACCAGGAGGGTGCCCACCCGAAAGCAGGGAGAACATGCAAACTCCACACAGAAATGCCAACTGAGCCGAGGCTTGACCAGCGACCCAGCGACCTTCTTGCTGTGAGCGACAGCAATACCTACTGCGCCACTGCTTGGCCATAATATAATATAATATAATATAATATAATATAATATAATATAATATAATATAATATAATATAATATAATATAATATAATATAATATAATATAATATAATAATTATTATTATAAGTATAATTATTCATTCATCTATTTTCTTGTCGGCATAGTCCCTTTATTGATCCGGGATTGCCACATCGGAATGAACCAAAAACTTATCCAGCAAGTTTTTACGCAGCGGATGCCCTTCTAGCTGCAACTATATATATATATATATATATATATATATATATATATATATATATATATATATATATATATATATATATATATCAATTCACCAGAGAGGCAGAGAGCAACTTAAAGCTTTCCTTTAAGAGCACTTGGAAAAAAATGCCTGGCTTGAACAAAACAATCTGTTTTCTGTTTTGCATAGATGATGATGACAGATTAGCATTAATCACATACGAGTTGCATAATAAATGACTGCGTGATGATAAATGGCATTTTCAGGGGAAGAAACAGCATAATGAGGACTACTTGAAAGAAATCGCAATTAAATGATGGTCTGATGTTAAAGTAGAACTCACTACGGCAGCTGCTATTGAGATATGTAATTAAAAGCATTCGCTAGCAAAACATTATAGGTGCGTGTGTGTGTCTGTGTACAAGTGTGTGTCATATGAGGCTGTAAAGAAAGCAATTTGCAGTCCATTCCAGGAACAGACATATATCTGTGCTGACTGGAAAACCCATGAGAGATGCATGAAAACTGAAAATGTATGACCTTTTTCTGGACATATTTCAGAAAGCCAGAATCACACAAAAAAAGAACGATAGAAAAGTGTAAAGTGTCATAGGCATTAAAAGGTGTGACAAAAAGATGGCACTTTACACAAAGATTTGGGGGGGGGGGGTGTGAGCGTATTTCCTTCCCTTTTCCCATCAAATGATTTGGTCAGGTTTGCTTCAAATGACAAGAAAATAACAAGGTAACTCTGGTTTTTCCATTTTACACTTGTCCCACACATATTTTCGAGTATATCTCACATTACTGACTGCATTTAACAACTACAACTTTACAGAATGTCTTGAATTTCAAGGTTTCATTCACATATTTGACTTTTTTGGCCCAAGAATTATACTTGTTCTAATTGAGTCAAGAAATTGATCTTAAATCTTTCAAATCGGACTTCGTAATACAACATTGGAAGTAGTGATTCTCTTTCATAGTCACACATGCACTGTTGGAAAAATTGGAAGTCCAGGAGACTCGAACAAGCAGAATTTCTTTATTTAGACATGTTGGTTAGTCTGCAGTCATACAGCATCTTCAAGAAGTCCAAGAGTCTGCAAGAGCCTCTCTTACATTTACAGCAATTTACAAAACTATAAGAGCAACAATGAATAAGTGCTGTAGTCAAGTTTCAGGTGTGTAAGAAAGTGTAATAAGCAAAGAAATTATTATTATTTTTTCCCTCTTTGGGATGGAACCATGAGGCGACGTTCATTCACAGAACGCAAGTTTCTGGAGGGCACAGAAATCTGCAGAAGTGGGAGCAAACATCAGAGTTTTGAATTTGATGCGAGCAGCAACTGGCAGCCAGTGCAAACAGATGAGCAGCGGAGTGACATGTGCTCTTTT